TCTGAAGTCGGTTTCGTTACTCACGCATGTATTTGTACATTTATTAGTAGAAAACGTGTTTAAAAATATTAATTATTAAAATAGTGATATCGTTACGAAAGGATTTTACCAAGTTTAATAAGTCTTTGTAAGAATGTGTTTTATAACGTTATAAAACCGATTTTATAAAGTGAAATGTTCACCTAATCTTACATTATCGTATATCTCAACATTAGTTTTGTAAACATTCGGTTTTAACCGAAAGTGTCACTTCTAAAATTACTTCCCCGTTCCGTAAAATCATGTTCCCGGTATTAATATTTTTATGAATAATAAGAGCACGAGTTTTAATATGTAGGATGTTAAGCTGTTGTAAGTTTGAAACGACAGAAATCACCATTGATACAAAGCGCTGGACAAAAACTTGTAACCAGATTAGGTACTATTTTAAGATAACGTTATCGGCTCCGACCGTCGTGCCTTTAATTGGCGGCAATGTTGTGTCGATTTAATTTACCACTGGTCGTAGTTGAAAGAATTTTCATTACGGTGTAAATTACTTTGTACTTAATAATTTTCAACTTTTGAATTTTTCAATTTATAGATTTTGCAATTTTTCGAATTGAGTTTCTCCAGTTTTCAATTTTTAATTTTTCCATTTGGAATTTTCCGTTTCAGTTTTTTATTTTCTTTATTTTTGCAATTTTTCGTTTCGTTAATTTTTCCATTTGCAATTTTTAATTTTTTTGTTTTTCTTTTCTGCAATTCTGCGGTATCTCTTCGAGTTTCCATTTTTAAATTTTCCAGTTTTCCGATTTTCCAACTTTCGAACGCTTCAGTTATTCTTCGTAGCTTACATTAGAAGTACAGTCCAAAATTATTGAATAATATATTGACCCTATGTTTTTTTATTATAATATCTCTTGTTCCTTGTGCCAACAAATTGTTGGAAGAAACTATGTACATGAAGAAGAAAAAAAAAGATTAAGCTCCACCCACCCGCCCCTTTCTTAATTCTGATGAGTTTTTCATTCGTAATCAGACCGAACGGCGGAGTTTAATTGTAACATCAAAATTTCTCTAGAGAATTCTACTCTTTTAAAAACATGTTTCATATGGTAATTTCTTGGTGAGAAATGAGGATTTTGCAACTAAGCTCTGCCCTCTTGCTTCACGATGAATAAAAAATTCATCACAATTGCGAAGGGGTGGGCGGGCGGGGCTTATATTTTGTCCATTTTTTTCTTAATATACGAAGTCTTTTTTCCCAACAAGAAACTGAAAACATGTTAACTATGCTGTTGTTGAAAGAAAACTCTGTGTATTAAAAAAACAACAACCACCCACCCGCCCCGTTCTCAATTGTGATGAATTTTTCATTCGTTGTTAGACCGAGGAGTGGACCGTAATTGCAAAATACATATTTCTCTACAAAAATTTACCATTTTCAACATGTTTTAAGTTTCTTGTTGTGAAAAGAAGGCTACAGGTATGATAAAAAAAGGCAAACAAATCTGGCAAATTAAACAAAGCATCAGGTGATTAAAAGTACGGTACAAACGGGTATTAAAAATCGAATAACTACAAAATCAAAAAGACGAAATATTGTAAATCCAAAATACCGGAAATTAAAAAATCGGAAAATCGGATAATTGAGAAATCCAAAAATTGCAAAATTAAAAAATTTGAAAATTAGAAAATCGAGGAATTGAAAAATTAAAAACTTGAAGAATCAAATAGCCGAACGAAAAATTGTAAAATTGGAAGAAACATTTAAAAAATAAAGGAAATGAAACAAATAATTGTGATTAAAATCAAGAAAATGAAAATTAAAAACTTGATAAAATGAAAAATAAAAAGTAAGAACTTGAAAATTGACGAAACAAAAATCGCAAAATTAAAAATTGAGAAACTGAAGACCCGAAGAATGAAAAGTTATAATATCGAAAAATTGCAAAATTTCAAAACGAAAAATTCAAGAAACGATAATCTGAAAAATTTGCAAGCGTGAAATTGAAAAATTGATAAAATTAGGGTCGGTTTATGGAAAGCGATATAAATATTGAATCCTCGATTAATTTAACATAGGATTAAATTGTAGAATATGAGCCCGTGATTGGTTAAAACATGCATATTGCATAGCAACGGACCTCAATTAAAATTAATCGCGATTAACTTTTAATTCGCTTTCCATAAACCTGATCTTAAAGTTGCAAAAACGAAAAATTATGAAACCGATACTTTGAAAAATGGAAAAATATCTCATGTAATGTTAAAGTAAAGGTAAACAAGCGTGTTGGGCGTAAGTTCCAAATGAGGATTTATTAGGCAAAATTTTGAGATGACGTCATCAATTTTTTGGGAAGGGATAAACGAATAAATTTTGCAGTTTCAAATTTCTATTGCAAAATATTGTTATTCAGTTTTGAATTTTTTCCAAAAATTTTGGATATCTAGGGTGAAAATTCGACACGGACTCATACACAACAAGTACAGACGTACCTTATTTACAAAATTTAAAATAACTTTGTTATAAATTTTGGAGATAATGTCATTGGTGGTGGTGGTATTTTCCGAATACACATACAAAATATGATAATAATCGGTTCAGTAGTTGCGGAGATTACTCGTCTATTAAAAATGGATACAGACACCAGACAGACAGACAGACGGAAACGGGATACCACTTTTTTCGCACTCTAGAGCTCATGACACGTCGAGAAACTATGAAAGTAGCAATTCGACCGATGGACTCGATTACTATACTTCCTTAGCTTAGGCTCGGGAAGTAAAAAATGATCATACATAAGAATTAGTCAAAAATTTGAAATAATTTGAAATTTTTCTACATGCGATTGTGAGTATTATTATTGAATACTCCTAGTTTATTTCAATCAATTCGATGGTATAAAACGAACACCCTATAAGTAGCGAAAATTCGAAAAACTACTTTTATACTCAGTACAATCATTTAATCTTAACACAATCAATTTGGCCTTCCTTGCAGACTACAAGCAAATACTCCTAGTTATTTGAGTCTCCTTGTTATTAATGGTTTACTTTGTGAATAAGGTTTATTCACTGAACAAAATTAAATAATTGTAACCCTGTTTTGAATTTTCGTCACTTAGTTACTTTTGTGCTTGTTCCCATTTCTAATATCAACGTTCATAAAATAAAGAAAATGAAGAACAACACAATTTCTTGATTCAATTTTACTCTCTCAGGTCAACCTTTGCAAGGTTGTAGACACTTTACATAAATAATAATTTGCACAAACGTGAAAATTGGAGTCTAAATTAAGATTTTATTTTTACAACAAATATTAACGATACCAACATTGTGAGTTTATTTTCTACAAGATTGCGCAACTAGCGTGAAAGCAAGTAAAAGTAGCACTTCTTTTCCTACGACTGTTACCGAAATTTTACTTTTCTAAACAGTCGTACAAAAAATTGTTCCTGTGGTCCGAAAAAATAAAATTGGAAAAATACAAATATTGCAATTTTTTTTTTCAAATTTGGAATATTGACATTAATTTAATAAATACAGAAAAATGATTCAGATTTGTTTATTCATCTTCTTTAGAAAGTTAATGACGTCATCTCAAAATTTTGTGCATTAATAAATGTTTGTACAAAAATGTGGTTCGAAAACAACATTGTTAGTGCTTTAGTAAATAAATCATTTTTAGAAACCTTTATAGAAGATGCTAAAAAATGCAGAATCAGATTTGATAATTTATCTAAGAAAATGGACTTGCTTGATTGTGCTTCAACGAGGGTTAACAAAAATTAAATTAATATTTATTAAATTTAGTACTTAAAAGAAAAACAGGTTCGATATTATTACAGAGGAAAATGCTCAAAATCAGCACATCGATCTCACGTACTTAGATTATGCCATAAGGGAAACACTGCAATAATAATTAAAACTAAAATGATGATAAAAACATTAGTGTTTAAATTTCCTTTAAAGGCATTAATTTTTATTTCAAAATACAAAATATGTAAATATTTTCCCCGTTTTGTGAGAAACAAACACAGCAATAATATTGGGTGTTGTTTTTCATGCCAACAAATATTTATATTGTAATTTTATTTCCTTGAAATACCATTTTCCTGTGTGCTATTATGACCGCTTTTTCCAAGGGAGTGTTCCAGTTCAGATAAGATCTTAGCAGTTCGCCGAAACCGGAGAGTGAGAAGTTTCGCACCATTTTATCAGTAACGGTTTAGTTTGTAAATTAAATTAGTTACATTTGCAAAATGTTCCATAATGAAAAGCCAGTTGCAAAAATTGATTACGCGACCTACTTGCATCATTATCAATTGAAACAACAATACTTGGAAACAGCCCATAAAGACGATAAGCTGTCGCCTTCCACTTCTGCTTGATTATTTTATAACTTTAATAACAATCAGTAGACTAATTAATGGGGTTGCATGTGGTGTAGCGATGGAAGTATTGGTACGGGGCTGGTGGTGGCGCTCAGGCCTCCCTTCAAACGCTTCAACGGCTCCTTTCGCCGAGGAGGTTCTCAACGGTTACCGAGACGTCCCGCTTCACTTCTTGCCCAGACTGACGTAGTAGTCCCCCAGGTATACACAGTTGCATGTTTTGTGATTTCACGTATTTAATCGTCTAAACTTATCAATAAGTAATTCGCCTCTTATCGAGCCACTGTCATTAAACTTAGTCTTATCAAAAATGTACCAAGTGCCGGGGCGTCATGGATTGCTACGCAAAAAATCCATGTTTCTTCGTCAGTTCGAACCGTTTGGAGGTAATTATGTGGTTCGGTTGATGCGTAATAGGTATGGATGCTACGATAACACGTCATGGCATTCATCTATTAGTTCCAATTAAGCGTCTGGTGTGGACAATTGACATGTTATTCAAGTACGAGGGCTTCTCTCTCGATTATTTCATGTAATGGAAGTACAGCTGGCCGCACTTGACGCTTTATTCCCACGGGGGTGATGCCAGCGGTCATTTACAATGGGATTTTTGGTTTGCAGTGTGAGGAAAATGGGTCGGCCAAGAGTAATAGTTCGGAAGGACCCGCTGGTTGGGCAACATCCTTCGAGAAACTCCTGGAGGATCCATTAGGACTGCATACGTTTGCTGTAAGTTTTGCATGAGGTGTAAATGTAGAAATTTTATGGAAACATATCACTTTGATAACAGATTTGGTCAAAATTAAAACGCTATCAAGATTATGTATGTTGTGTCTGCGTTTATCAGTTGTTTGTTTTTTCTAAACGTGTACCTTTCGTCATTGTGAATGTGAAGTAAAAGTAACTATTTCGAACTGATTTGTTGACCTTATCAAATAGGATTACAACGCTGTAATTTATGTAACAAAGAAATAGTTCGAATTTTATTAAATGATATTTCAAATGTTATCTATCGAAAGGACTGGTGTATTTCTGTCACTGATTTTGTTTCCTGAAGCAGTTTTTTTTCCAAAATTTGTTACTTAATTTATTACTTCGTAATGAAGTAATACCGACAAGCTTATTATAAAAGATTGTGCATCAAGTAGGCTTTGAGATTTTGTGAATTTTGCCGCCTTGTTGTGATGATTACTCATCATCGCCTGGAAGCGGCAAATTAAAAAAGCAGTTTTTCCAAAGCCTACTCGATATTTTATACTAAACAAAATTACAGTATCCTTTTTGAATTCTATTAAACAAAAAGTTTCAAAAGTGTAGTGTTATCAGATCATTGTTTACAGTTGAATTTAATTCCCGTTTAAAATGTCATAAAAAAATTTTAAATAAAAGTCGTTTATATTTTTGACTTACAAGACAGTGTGAGAATACCAGAAATTATTCTAGAAGAATTTTGATAGCATAATCGCCCTGTTGTACAGTAGTGTAATTTTGGAGCTACAAATAAATCGTGTGATAGCGCAATCAACTGGTAAATATTGAAATAAAGGACGCGTATGCGTATTACACAGGTATATATGAGCAACAAAAGTGTAGAAACGGTGTTAATGACTCTTAACCGTTTTTATAGCATTCTGGTGTATGTACATTTATTACTATTTCATGTATTTAACTGTAAAGAACGTTATGTTTACATGATGTTCCTGTTCTAAGAATTCCCATAATGTAGAGATCATTAATAACAGTTAAATGTAGGGTGGAACATCGACCATTTTCTCAAGTCTTTAATTTTTTAAGGTCGTGTATGTCTCACTATCTCTGTCTAACTTTGAATATTGTGATCTGTACACAAATACAAAATATTAAAAACAAAATTCGTTTTTGTTTTATAGCTTTTGAGTTATGTAATCTTTGTCCTCTTAAAAAACCAAAGATGTCTCCTATAATATTAAAAATGATCATAAAATTGTCGTAGTTTTTGATATACTTTTTTTTTCTTTGCAAACATATTCTACAATAGTTAAAATTTGTGGAACCTGGTACTTCTAGACTTTTTAAATTGGTGAATCGCGTTGTGATAATAATTATTTCAATCAGTATGCAGCTAAAGCATATTACAAATTTTGTCTCTAAAAACAGGTATATGTATAAAAATAACATTAAAAAGTAAGTAAAGAAAGTAAAATAGAAAAATTATTTTCTTATTTTTTTCCTTCTGTGTACAATTTAACACTTTGTATGTATACCGGGTGTCTAGAAAATCACGGATTAACTCTTCAGTACGTTATATACGGGGGTTTCGGTAGTTCCAAAAAAATAATAAAAAATTCTTTATGATGTAGATTACGAAAAACACGTAATTTTATAAAAGTGAAATTGGCAACCATAACAACCACCAGTCATTAATCGTTAGCTATTATTTTTCACTAATAAATAAACCCAAAAAATAATTAATAAGACATTTTTAAATTATAAACAAAAACAAGAGCAACAACAGAAAAATCCATTAAACATGACCCACTAAACGCTAGAGAAAATGTTCAAAATTCCTGCCTTGTGCAGATAAGTAAGCTGGTAATGTTTCCAAAGTTTTATTATTTTTTGTAAAAGTTAGTCATCAGTACTTACTAAGATAAAACTGATTTTGGCTATGACATACCCTCTAAGAAAATAGAGGGTGTGTGGGCGGGGCTAGTACCCACCCAGATAAGACTGATTTTGGCAAATGAGATACGCTCAAAGAGAAGAGAGGGTACGTGGGAGGGGCTAGTGCCTGCTAAGAGAAGACCAGTGCAGTAAGCACATGTGAATTCGTAGAGTTCCCCTTTTTTTTCTTAGAATGTTCATTTGCCAAAATTAGTCTCATCTTGACAGGTAGTAGACCCACCCACCCGCCCCTTATTTTCTTCAAGGATATGTCATCTGCCAAAATCAATCTTAGCAAATGTTAGTCCCGCCCATCCACCCTTTGTTTTCTTAGAGGATCTATTTGCCAAAATCAGTCTTGCTAACATAAGTCTTATTTTGGCAAATTACATATCCTCTGAGAAAATAGGGGGCGGGTGGGCGGGGCTAGTACCTGCTAAGATAAGAGTGACTTTGGTAAATGAGGTACCTTCCAAGAAAAGAGAGGGTGGGTGGGCGGGGCTAGTTAGTAGCTGCCAAGATAAAACTGATTCTGGCAAATGAGATATCCACTAAAACTTTATTGCTCTGTGAAGTTCAACTTAGTGTGCAATAAACACTTTGTAAACAGACTCTAAATAACAATGTGCCAATGGCAGGTCGATTTCCGTGTCTACTTTTAAGATTTTGTGGACCGTCAAATATTCAAAGGACCTATTTCACTGTAGAAAAAAATATTTGCAAGAGCAGTAAGTATATGTATGTATATCAGTCATCAATATTAAAGAAGAAACAAATTGTAGGGTTGGTTACTTTAGAAATAATGTTTTCTACTTTTTTTTCCTCATAATCACGTCATAAAATTTTCTCCTTAAATTTTTCAAATGAAACTGTCAATGTAGTAACATTGTTAATATCATTACAAAATGTTTGGCTTCAATATGAAACTGTTTTTATGAAGTGATTACAGCTATAATATGTACTTTAATGATGAAAGGGACCTTCAAATAAGGCATCATACATAATAATATAGGTGATCTCACAAAAAAAAAAATATTTTTTAAGAATCAATTACAGACATGTCCTATCAGAAATTACGGCTTACACAACCTGCATAAAATAAGCTAAAATTTGCATAATAATACCGCTAGAGCACTGCATATTTAGTAAAAGTAATAAAACTTAATTAAATGGGAAACAAAATAGAAATTTATATTCAGAAAAGAAGAATAATAAAAGATGGATTCCATTTTAATTAAAACACGAATTCACAGAATATTGTTGATCTATTGTATTTTACACATGAAGAGTTTGTTACCGAAAGTTTATTTTTTATTATTTACTCACGAGATTTTTTAAAAATCTATATATCCGTTGTTTTGTGCTACATAGCAAAATATTGATCATAGTCACATGTCTCCTTCATAAATCAACTGAGCCCATCTCTTAGCGATTATGATTGATTCTTCTAAAATATAAATGTAAATGCTATCTTACTTCACAATGTTTTGATTTTAATCAAATTATCAACTTGTCATTAACGTTAGCTTTTGTAACATAGCGAATTATTTACCGCCTAGTCATTCTATTCGTTTTTCATTTACTCTACAACAGAATTTTTCCCTTCTCTTTCAGGAGTTTCTCAAAAAGGAGTTCAGTGCCGAAAACATTTACTTCTGGACGGCATGCGAACGCTACCGACGACTTCCGGCTGGCCCGGAGCGCGTCGCCGAAGCCCAAAGAATATACCAACAGCACCTATGCGTGGGAGCCCCCGAAGGAGTGAACGTGGATTCGCACGGACGCCACTGCACCGAACAATCGCTCCAAGAAGCCAGCATCACGTTGTTCGATCAAGCGCAGAAACAAATCTTCAACTTGATGAAGTTTGACAGTTATCCGCGGTTTCTGAAGTCCACCCTCTACAAACAGTGTCTTTCTGGGGAAGCGGAGAGGCCTCTGCCGGACGCTGGGTTACTGTTACAACCACCGTCGCTCAACACGCCCACGAAATTAAAGAAGTCGTTAAGTAATGCGGAAGATAGGAGAAGGAAGTCGTTGTTGCCGTGGCACAGAAAGAACAGATCGAAGTCTAAAGATAGGGGCGAAACTGAGTATATACAAAAAAGGAGTGATATTATTACTAGTAATGAGAGCGTTAATGGGAAAATGGGGGGCGGGAGTGATACTCATAGCAGTAAGTCGTCGTTGACGTCGTTGGATTTGGCCATTGGCTCGACGCAAGTAAGTTCTTGATTCATTTGTGATTGTTTTAAAGTCAGTCGAAATTTATTATAATTTTGGATAAGCACGTTTTTTTGCGTTTGTTTGCAGGATTCCGTCAAAGGGAATCAAGATGAAATGACGGTGTCGACTGTGGCTAGAGGTCCCTTGTGTAGAGTGTTACTGAGTAACGGAAGCACGACTGTAGTACAAATTAAAGCATCGGAAACAATTCAGCAGTTGGTGACGCGATTATTGGATAAACGAGGATTGGCCTATTCGGCGTTTGAAGTATATACTGACAAGCATTCAAAGGTATGTTTTATTTTCAAATTATTTAAATTACTTCTGTTCCACTTAGGCGTTCCACTCTGATAACTTGAGAGCTCCATTAAAATAAAAACTTGGAATGTTGATGGTTTTAATTGCATCGTTTACTTAGTAATTTTTAATTTTTGCAGGAAATGATCGCTTTTTCAAGTTTATGTTTTTGTGGATAATAATTATATATAGAAATAAGTTGACAGTTATGTAATAATTAAAACAAAAAACTGTTTTAATGGAGTTCAGAGATTTTGTTTTTTCTGTTGCTCTACATATTTACAGCAGACGTCAGCTTTTTTCTTTCCTTTAATTGTATACATATTTGTCACTAGTGCGAATGGTGCATGTGGAAGTGACATTTTCTGAATTAATGTTAAATAATAAAAGATAAATGTGTTAAAACGTATTTGGTTTGAACATTAATGTTACTTGATGAGTTTCAACAAATTCTGCCATTTAATTGGTTAAAAATTCCTGAGTTGATTTGTCAAAATAAATACACAAGTCGTCATGAATAAGTTAAATTTATTATCACAGTTAAAATACCTTTCTAATTGGTAGAATTAAATACCCAAAGCCTAGTATATATTTTTTTTTGTACTATCAACATCATAAATATCATAGCTGTGTGCCAGAAGCCATGACCAACTTCATTTGTATACGTTCCATGGCCATGTGTAGATCAAAAACATCCCACTAACTGGATCTGCAGCATCCTGATATTCAGAATTTGCCGTCGCAGAACTCAATAATATGCTCTTCGGTATATTTTATTCTTGTAGTGAAGCAACAAAATATATATAAAATTTGACACAATAAATTTCTTCGCACAAAAAGGTACCACAGATTATACATACATTTCTATCATTATACACATATCCGATTTATATACAATTTTTTAACGTTTTGTATTGGTGTAGTGTAATACTAACAATAACTGTATTGTATTCCCAAAATTTTGTGGGGAAATGGAGCCGTTCCTCATTTTATCAATAAAATAAATTGACACATTCATTAATTTGTTTGAGCCACCTGTCTAACTAAATCTAAAAAATATGAATACAATGATAAATCACAAATAAAAACTCATCGTATTTTGCACATTTTGGGTAGATGTAGGAATTTAACTCGTTAATATGAAAATTTGCAATTTAACACCTTTAAATTTCACAAGTTTTTACAAGATTAATAGGGGCAAAATCAGTTTTATCTTAACAAATACTAGGCCCGCCCACCCGCCCCCTATTTTCCCAGAGGATATCATTTGCCGAAATAAGTCTTATCGTAGCAAGTACTAGCCCTGCCCACCCACCGTTTATTTTCCTAGAGGGTATGTCATTTGCTAAAATCAATCGTATCTTACCAAGTATTAGCCCCGCCCACCCGCCCCTATTTTCTCAGAGGATATGTCATTTGCCAAAATAAGACTTACGTTAGCAAGAGTGATTTTGGCAAATGACATCCTCTAAGAAAATAAAGGGCGGGTGGGTGGGGCTAGTACCTATAAAGGTGAGACTGATTTGGGCGGGATTACAACTTGCTAAGATAGACTGATTTTGGGAGATGACATATTCTTTAAGAAAAAAAGGGTGGGTGGGGCTAATACTTCCTCAAGTTGATTTTTTCACAATAATTTAGCGTCTATAGAATTATTATAATAAAACAAACTAAGTAGCAGTGCCGACGATTCATTATTTTAGAAAAAAAAAAACACTAAGAATGCGAGCACAGCGAGCACGTTTAAGTGTTATAAAGATTTACTGTTAATGCCCCCGAGAAGCTGAATTTATTAATGAGAGAAATTTTTATTGTCTAAAATTAAACGTGCGTTTTAAAGTCTACAAATTTATTCCATACAACTTCGCTGAGACTCTTTCCTGCAGACTTCTATGAGAATAAAGCCGAAAAAAAAATGCGAGCTCAGCGAGCACGTTCACGTGAATAAAACTGTAGTTCTTGATGTGTTATTTAAATACTGAAGTTAAAAGGATTTAAAAGTATTTCAAATATCAGCGCGTAATTTCAGCTTGGCATTATTTCGAATTGGACGTAAGATTTTCATATAAATAAAAAAAGTTTTTGGGATAAACAGACGTGTAATTTTTTCATCAACACTTTGTATGATATAACTAAATTGAAGTCCATTTAAAATGTGTTTTGGATGTATGTGGAAACAAAAAAAAAGTTGAGTAAAAAATTTGGGAGAAGTCCCTAGTATTGTTTTATGGTGGAGCTAAGAAAAAGTTCTTAAATTTAGTTGTGTGCTTTTTTTAATGTGGCGGCAAAATTCAATTCGTGGTCAATAACTAATTTTTCTATTATTTATGATATTTTTAGATAATAAGTTATTTGCTGAAATAAAGGAGAGGCAAATTCTTGTTAAAAATGTAGTGATAGATCTTCCAAAACCAACTTAATTTAGGATCTTTTATACCCATAGAAGCACATTTTAATTCGGTTTTCTCGGGTTACTTTGTGTAAATATTTCGAGTGTAACGAGTCTTTTTACCGTTCATTAAAATCCATACTCATTGAAATGAAAGTTACGCTTTTTCTTATTGACAATTAATCAACTAAACAATATTAATATGCAGTGTCATTTTCGTGTTTAATTTTTGTGTACTCTCAATGTCAGGTGATGTAATATAATTATATAATAGTATAAATACACTATTTAAACAATCATTAGGTGTCTACATACCAAAGGAAGATAAAATAAACAACGATATTTAGAAAAAGGCACTAATTTAGTAGATTTGAAATAAAATTTAGGAAACGAAGTATGTGGTCATTTGTTTTGATAATAAATTATCACCCCATGCTACGACCAGAGAGTTTATTTTTGATAGATTGTATAACATTTCTGTAATAGCTGTACAAATATTTTTGCACGTGAGTGCATAATGTTTAGACTATTAATAGTTAAAACTAAATTCAAATATCACGTGAGATGTACACAGACTAATTGTTTGTTAATATGTACAAGCACAATATTTCAATCTGCAAGGAAGTATGACACATCTGTAATTAATTGTCGTTACTCATGCTTTATAATTTTATACTTCCTCTTTTTAATAAAATCTGTGTTAATGTACAAGTTTCACCTAAAGCTTAAATTCTCTGGCATATTAAGTTTTAATTCGAATTAAATATTTAATCAATTAACTATAAATCGACCTTAAAAATTGTAACTACCCATATCTGTGGAAGTAATATCCACTGTATGAAAAAGTGAGGCAAACTTCTATGGGTCATCTTGCCAAACAGTTTTGAACTGGACCGTTCATGAAACCACATGTTGGAAGTACTCTCGAGATAATACGTTTAACAATATCATAAATAATTTTTATTAAATAATAGTGGAGTGACGGGAACAAGTCTTAGGATGCAACATCCTGTGTGCTAAGTGAATGCAATTGCACCATGACGTCGGTTAATCTTTCATTAGAAAAACCACACTCTTGATTTTCTTTCATCAAACATCAAACCCGACATTTCAAAAGAATGCATAATCTAACTTGTGCAATTCAACCATTGTTCTTGACCAAAATGATAAAAACGAGAAATTCTTGATAAAATGTGGTTACACACAAATTCCATTGTTACATTACGTTAATTAATAACAGTTAAAAGCTATTTCGAAATATCGAATGACATCCCTTTCTTTTTTCTAGGCGATCGATCTGAATGAGCCTTCAAACAAACTGGCGGGTTGCGAAGTGACCGTTGAACAAAGAGTCGTCTTCAAAATCGACCTACCAAACAAAAAAGTGATATCCGTGAAATCCAAATCGACGAAAATAATCGCAGACGTACTGCGACCGATTCTACTCAGATATCACTATAATCTAGACCACGCGAAAGTAACCTTAGACGAAAACGGCCCAGTCGACATCTTCTTGCCTATCACCTCCATCGACGAAAAAAGACTTAAAGTTCAGTATTGGGAAGAATCAAAAAACGTACCTGTAAATCCAGTTATTAAAGTGAGCACTGATAAAGCGAAACTCGATGAAATTACCAATCAAGTATACGAAGATATTCTTCAAGAGAAAAGCGATGCGGATTTTCTCAAACCGAAGTCGGATAAGGGATCAGTAAAGAGCGAAGATTGGGGATCGGAACACTCCTCGGGTATCTTCGGCCGGTTTTTACGACGCGATTCGGGGGTTCACGAACGGAAGAAAAAGTCTTTGATGCCGAAATTAAAGATGCAACCGAATGGAACTACTGCAGAAGATGTAACAGGAGAACAGGTGAAGAAGCCGCTGATCGCCAAGTGGAAAACTGGCGTCAATAAATTGCAAGTTCCGTGCAGCGAAAGCGATGGTAAGTTTTCATACAATTTTATGTATGTTCGCTTATTGATTTATTTATTTTTTCAGAACTAGTGGAAGGCTTGACAAGAGCGCAAAGATCCCGTTTAGAGGATCAACGAGGGACAGAAATCAACTTCGAATTACCGGATTTTCTAAAAGATAAAGACACTGGTGAACATGGCCTTAGAAAACCTCAGCGGGGTGTGGGAGAAACGAACAATAGTCGTTTTTATGTAGATAGTCAAGGAGACTCAAGCCCGAAGAGACTACCAAATTTATCACAGTATAATTACGAAAATAGGAACATTATCGCTAAAGATTTTAACAATTTGACGAACAATAACAGTACTTTTACGAATCATAACCAGAATAAATTAAATAATCTGAGGATTTATTCTCCCAATAAATTTTCATCTGATGAAAGTTCTAAGTCAAACCAGTCTACGCCGTCAAAGTGTAGCAGTTTGGAGAATACAGTGATTGAAAATAAGAGAGAAAGCCCGAAATGTGTGGAGCCGCCTCCGTTACCACCTAAACCGAAAATTGTTCCTATTAAGCCACCAAATTGGGGACAGAATGGGTTTTATAAACCTAAAGAATTAACTACAAGTGATAAAAATAAAACGTTGTATCTAGAACAGCCTTCGAGCAGCTTTGTTTAGATTAATTGTTGTATATTATTGTAAAAAATAACTTTCATAATTTATTGGAATTTTGTATATTATGATCTAATTTAATATTTAAAATATATTTTTTTGTATGTTTTTTAAGTGTTACTTTCTTTCGGAATTTCCTGTTCCGTGTCTGGAGAAGTTTTAGTAACTGCTGTTTCTGTGGTACTTGTTTCTTCAGCGGGTTTTAAATATGTAATGAGGGATGGTTCTTTTGGGGGCAGCCAATCCGGGATTATTTTCCCATGAACTCTCCATTTACCATACAAATTGGCCAAATGTCTTTCAAAAACAACATACTCTAAGACATCCTTTGCTATGATTTCACTACCATGCATTAATCGTCCAAAACGATCATACACTGCCAACATCTAAAAAATAAACCATTTTTATCAAATTCAATTCCCACAATTTCATACCTGTTGTGTGTGAAATCTCACAGTTGTTTGTCCAAAAATATTTTCTTTAGTAATTACGTCTGTACACCTTGCATGTACAACTCTAGGTAACTCAATATTCTTGATCAACTTCCAATGAATCGTCTTATTTTCAATATTATGAATAACCTCAGGATACGCACGTTCTGTGACATAATCAGTCATGTTTTCGAGATCTCTCTTAGCCATAAGGTCGTGCATTTTAACGTAAATATCTTCAGCTTCTTTACAAAACGTAGCGGTGTCAAATTCCTCTTCAAACGACTTTATTTTACGAATCGCCATCATTGTTCTTGACTTCTTCTCCAGGTACTGAAGCTTTTGCTTGGCACCTTGAACCTGGATAGGCGAAATTTTGCCGTCACCTTCTGGTGGAACATACGCTTCAAAAATTCCACCTGTGCAACTGAGGAAAAACGGTTTTTCGTTCCAAGGACGTGGCGGTAAAATTCCCTGTTCTTTTAATCGTGAACGTATCTCTTCTTCAGAGAGATCTTCTGGTTTTTCTTGGAAATTTGGTAGTTTTACTCTCATGACTTTTTGGCGACGAAGAGTTTTCCATTTGGGATTCCAGTGTTTTGTATGTCTGTGACGCACAAATTGGTCGTGGGAGCGGGACACGGTTAGAGCAACAAGGGGCTCCTGGAACATAACCTCAACAATGGCACACTGTTTATTTAGTACTTACATTTAATAAACGAGGTCCTAATAGATTTGCAATTCTTAAAGCCATAATTTGCTTTGCATTTGTTAATGTTTAAAAAGCAGTATAGTTTATTTCAAAGGTTTAATTTGAATGTACACTTTTAACCTAAAAACATTATTAGGCAACCATCTATACGGATATTTATTGAATATTGCATAATTTAGACAATTTCCGCACAGTTACCGCACAGTGCACGGTATGGGGATCATCAGAGAAAAAGTACAAAAAAATTGATTGGTTGAAGGTTATTTCAATAGAACTTCCCTCGTCTCTGAAGTGCAGTCAAATAAATCCCACTTTTGTGAAAAATTTTATTTTATTTTTGCAATTTCTGTTTTCTGATATTCTCTATAAAGTAGAATCCAGTGGCGTAAATAACGGTTCCATAGGTCTTCAATCTTTCATTTTTTTGTTTCTTCATTTTTACAATTTTTCAATGTTCAGATTTTATAATTTTTTGTTGTTTCAATTTTTCCTTTCGTCAATTTTTCCATTTGCAATTTTTCATTTTTTTTGTTTTTCTGTTCTAAATACAATTCTGCTATATCTCCTCGAGTTTTCATTTTTAAATTTTCGAGTTTTCCGATTTTCCAAATTTCGAATGCTTCAATTTTTAGATTTTGCAGTTTTTCGATTTGTAATTTCACGAGTTTTGAATATTTAATCTTTCAGTTTTTCATTTCTTCAGTTTTTCGAGAAAAACGAGAAAGTACAAGTTGTTCTGCGTAGCTTACATTACCAGTACAGTCCAAAATGATTGAATAATATTTTGATCCTATGTTTTTTATTATAATATCTCTTGTTCTTTGTGCCAAAAAATTGTTGGAAGAAACCATGTAGGTACTTGAAGAAAAAAAAAAACAAATTCTAAGCCCCACCCACCCGCCCCGATCTTAATTCTGAAGAGTTTTTCATTCCTAATCAGGCCGAGACCGAGGGGCGGAGTTTAATTATTCTAACATCAAAATTTCTTTAAAAAATTCTACTCTTTTAAAAACATTTTTTATATGGTAATTTCATGTTGAGAAATGAGGATTTTGCAACTAAGCTCCGCCCTCTTGGCTCACGATGAATAAAAAATTCATCACAATTGAGAAGGGGTGGGTCTTTTTACCTAACAAGAAACTGAAAACATGTTAACTCTCCTGTTGTTGAAAGAAAACTGTATACACCTATTAAAAAAAACCAACAAAGATTAAGCCCCACCCACCCGCCCCGATCTCAATTGTAATGAATATTTCATTCGTTGTTAGACCGAGGGGCGGAGCGTAATAGCAAAATACATATTTCTCTACAAAAATTTACCCTTTTCAACATATTTTTAGTTTCTTGTTGTGAAAAAAAGGCTACAGGTATGATAAAAAAGGCAAACAAATCTGTCAAATTAAACAAAGCATAAAGTTAATCAGGTGATTAAAAGTACGGTACAAACGGGCATTACAAATCGAATATTTACAAAATCGAAAAAACGAAATATTGTAAATTTGAAATACTGGAAATTAAACAACCGGAAAATCGGATCATTGAGAAATCCAAAAATTGCAAAATTAAAAAATTTGATAAATGGAAAATCGAGGAATTAAAAAATGAAAAATTTGAAGAAGGAAATGAACGAAAAATTGTAAAATTGGAAGAAACATTGAAAAACTAAAGGAAATGAGACAAAACATTGTGATTAAAATCAAGAAAATGAAAAATTAAAAATCGGGAAAATGAAAAATAAAAATAAAGAACTTGAAAACTGGGGAAACAAAAAATTGAAAAATCGAAAAATTAAAAATTGAGAAACTGAAGACGCGAAGAAAAATTATAATATCGAAAAAGTGCAAAATTCAAAAATTTCAAAACAAAAAATTCAAGATAAAACTAGGGTCGGTTTATGGAAAGCAAATTAAATACTGAATCCTCAATAATTTAACATAGGATTAAATTGTAGAATATGAGCCCGTGATTGGTTAAAATATGCACATTGCTTAGAGCTAGCAACGGACCTCAATTAAAATTAATCGCGATTAACTTTGAATTTGCTTTCCATAAACCGGATCTTAAAGATCACAAAAACGAAAAATTATGAAACCGAAACTTTGAAAAATGGAAGAAAACGACAAAACATCTCAAAAATTGGTTAGTAAATATAAATTCAGATTTTTCGAAAAATTATAAGATTTGATTTTGCGAATTTTATTTTCTTAGGATAACCCTTGCAAGTTAAAATAAGAATGTGTATGTAATGCTAAAGTAAATGTAAAGAAGTGTGTTGGGCGTAAGTTCCAAATGAGGATTTATTCGGAAAAATTTTCAGATGACGTCATCAATATTTTGGGAGGGGATAACCGAATAAATTTTGCCATGTTTACGATCACCTTAAAATATTTACAAGATGTCAAGAGAAATCGGTTTTGGAGTTTCAAAGTTATATTACAAAATACTGTTATTCATTTTTTTATAAATTTTGGAGATAACGTCATTACATCTACATGATATTCCTAATACATATACATACAAAATATGACAACAATCGGTCCAGTAGTTGTGGAGATTACTTGTCTAATAAAAATGGATACAGACACCAGACAGACCGAAAGACGGAAACGGGATACCACTTTTTTCGTACTCTAGAGGTCATGACACGTCGAGAAAATATGAAAGTGGCAATTCGGCCGATGGACTCGACCACGGTTGTAGAATAGATAGGTTGATACACTAGCATACATTTGCATATCAGCGACGCCAATTGTCGATCGCGTCGCCTGGTTTTTGACGTTTTAGGGACACAGAACTCTATAGGCATCTGTCTATACCCGATGTAATTAATAAAAGAAATCGTACTTATCGACTCCGATCAAATGTCATTTACAAATTTTGTATTGTTCATAAAGCAATGTAAACGAAAATCCCCAAAATAACTAGAATGATTTCCGCTCGACAAGGTAGAGGCGCTAGCTGTATGTGTCCTTTCCATGGATATAGGGATCGAAAAGAAGCGTCCCCATCCCAAGCCATTAGTGTACAAACCTATCTATTCTACAACCGTGGACTCGACTCACTTACGTTCGGGAAGTAAAAACAACCAATTTTTGATATGACAAAAAGAAACATACTTAAAAATAAATGTCAAAGTGAAGTGTAATCAAAACATTGTCAGTTCTTATACTTAGGCGAAGCTTTCTTTAATACCTTTGTCAAATGACGTCATTAATTTCTTGGCAGGGATTAATTAATATATTGAGGGCGCAATGTACAATTTAATATTATAAAATAACAAGTGTTAATGGATTAACGAAACTATGTAAGAAAATATAATTTTATTAAAAAATTCCATATATTGCAGGGTTCTTTTCACAAAAGTTAAAATACACTTTAAAATTATTAATGAAAATATCAGAACGAATTACGACTTTTTTTAATATGTGTGGAAAAAGTAGGATTACTTAATTAAAATTAATAAGAATGAGTCCAACAAGTTGATTTTACATTTGAAATAGTTATTTTTACAAAAAATTACTTGCTATATTTATTATCTGCTATTCACAATTATAAATTTTATTGGTTAAATTGCATCTACCTACTTATCATGATAATTTGACGTAAGCTTAAACACATGAGGAAAATGTTTGTTTTTCTTTAATTGCGCGACCATTATAAAGTTTATCACAATCTTTAATTATTATTAGATGTAATAACTATAATACTGACTGATTGTTGAGTATTTTGCGTCGTTCTCAAAATCTTATAAAAAATGATATCCGGCAATGTAAAAAATCTAATCTATCAATGTAGCTCCTTGGTATAGTTGAAAAACAAAATTGTGTTGGGCACTGTATATTATATATAGATATTAAAACACTGTGTAACACATAATATAACAAAAACATGTTTGTATTAAATTTGTGGCTATTAAAAACAAACTCATGAAAAGAACTCATGTGTTTTGAATTTCGAAAACTGTTCTTCGTCCAGCTTGACTTCTGCTTCTTTAACATCATTATTGATAGCCTTTATCAGTTCGTCCACGCTATTAAAATTTTTTTCAGGTCTGAGATAACCAAGCATCACAACCTTGAGCATCTTCCCATAGAAATCTTCATCGAACTTTTGAATAATATAAATTTCCATCGACTTTTGCGTGTTATTATAGAACGGATTCCACCCCACACTCATGACCATTTTGTAAACAGGTCCTTGGTCTACTTTAGCGAAGCCAAAATAAATTCCAGGCTCCACTTCTTTGGGCATGTTATTTACGACATCCACATCGTAATTCGCGGTTGGAATCCCCAACTCCTTCGACCCCCTCCCAAAGCCCTTGATCACTTCGCCTTTGGCGAAATGCGGCAACCCCTTCGGGAACGTCATCTGCCTACGCCCCTGGACAATGCGTGTGCGCAATGGTTGGCTAACCTGTAAAACGTGAAAAATACATTCAGTTGTTGACAGGAATTTCAGGTTAAGAAAAGGGGCTCCGATGTTGACCGTCGGTGGAGATGAGAAAAAAGTGAGTCAAAATTTATATTTGTTTGTGATGATAATGTAGAGTAAGGTTATCGAAGGTTTGTTTAGATGTTGTTTCGCTCGTGTCCTTTAACGACCTTTACGCGACCGCTGAACTTTCGCGACTGGATTTGATTCACGTTTGATTTGAATTGAATACCGCATTTTTTAAATAAAGTGTTTCGTAGTAGATAAGAAAATGCAAAAGTTAACAAACAATTCAGGTGCAATTTACTGTTAAATTGTCGTATAAATTTAAAATTACGATAACCCCGCCACGAACCCGTAGAAATTGTTATCAGCAAAAATTGTTGACGGCCTTATACATGTTGATCCTTTTGCATATAAATTAATGCTATTATTACTAAATAGGTGTCTACTTTTTAATCAGAATAATTTATTTTAGGATATCTACTACACGGTCATGTAGAGCTACTAATACATATGAAAATTGCTTGACATTAGATAATTTATTTTTTATCTATGAGAATGATTATTATGGCTATCATGCATGACACACAAGACAAAAGCAAGCTCTAAGGCATGTTACTTTACCTGTTTTTCGTAGAAGAATAAACACTTTTTTCTTAATATTTCTTTAGATATTTAAAATTTATACAAAATTGAATTACGAATAAAACCGTGTTTAAAGGATTAAACGGCTTCAGAATCAGATAAGCTAATGTTAAAGATAAAAACTTAAATAGAAGATAAATTAAGTGGTTATATACAGATAAAGTAAAAATGTGTGAGTATGGTGATCATAAAGTAAGTTATGTAACTGCTCAACAAATACACAATTATAGTTATTGTTCTGGTGACGATATTTCTGCGACAAAAAACGGTGTCTTTATTACTGTTGGTGTGATTTCTGACAAATGTCATATACATATGTACAGTTGGGACCACGGAATAGTTTATGCTTTCATTTATCTCGGTTGGCTAAATAAAAATTTTTTCCTAGTGTAAAACGGATATTTTATGTCAAAATGACATAACAGTGGCATTTAAGTTTAAAGTAATACGAATATAAGTGACATATGTTTTGAGATTTAAATTCATGTACGCCTATGCTTTTTTTATATAATTAAACTAGGACAGTTAACGCATAAACTACTCCGTGTTCCAAATTGTACCATAATTTTTTACAATACCTATGTTTGAAAACTTTTCATGTGTTTTGTATAATAATACCAACTTTTGAGAAAAAGTTTCTCAAGTTACCCCCACCATCCTAAGTTTTCAAAGGAATTACCCATCTTAAGACTCCTCTTAAGAAAAAGTGCCATTCGTTTTATTACCCATAAAAGTAACTAAAAAAAAAAATAACAACTATTAAAAAATTAAAAAAAAGAAAAAAACAAAAATTGGAATCTGAAATTCTGCAAAAAGTGTCGTAAGACGGGGAATCCCACTGGAAAATTGGTTTAATGGAGATAACTCCAAAGTGGTTGTTTAGAACCGGTTTTCTGTTTCGTCAAAATACTGTTAAGAGCAAAGTGTGGTCATCAGAAGATTTCGCTGGGACAACCTGTGTAAAATGAATTAATGCAAACGCTGATTTTTTATTTGCTAGTAAAAGGATTTTTCCTTTTGAGTTAAATTAGGAATTTAAAAACAACAAGAGATGAATTCGGTCAGTTCAGAAAAAAAATGTGTCATGGTGGCAGTTTTTTACATACCTATACAATAAAAATTATATGTAACATTGAGAAAATGGCGAGATTTTCGTAAAAATTTCAAAACATGTTTCGAAATAAATATTTGTTTCATATTTTTGGAGAATACATTTTTGGAATAAAATAAAAAAACTAAATGTTGACAAGGATTTACATGAAATTTTTCAAAAGTAAAATAAAACTAACAAAGATTATTAAACCGCAGATTACACGTTGCATGTTGCCAGCGAAATTTTTTAAAAAAGTATGTTGGTGATGTCATCAATTTTTTACAGACGATTATATCAGTTTTATTACTTATGACTTAACACTGCAAGCTTACTGTTTTTTTTTTTAAATTTTAGGAAACTTGTATAAGGATTTTTGATTATTTGGTAGAATAATCCTCTCCATTTTAATTTTTTTTGAGACACCCTTGATAAGCAGTTATAAAAAATAAAGTATATTGCTGAGGACAAACAACATTGCATTTAATACATTTTTTAGATACGTTTTGGTGATTATTTTTGTTCAAACTAACTATACTATAAATTGTAAGTTTATAATTCCAACAAATTTAATGTGATTATTTATTTTTTGATACTTTTAACACGTGTTGGACATTTGATAAAATATTGGTTCATAACGGTAAATTAGATTTAAAAATTGGTTGAAGGTTATTTCAACAGAACTTCCCTCGCCTCTGAAGTGCAGCCAAATAAATCCCACTTTTTTGAAAAATTTTATTTTATTTTTGCCATTTTTGTTTTCTGATATCCTCTATAAAGTAAAATCCAGTGGCGTAAATAACGGTCCCACAGCGTTTTGACTTCAATCTTTCATTTTTTGTCTCTTCATTTTTTCGATTTCAAAGTTTTTGAGTTTTCAACTTTTGAATTTTTCAATTTATAGATTTTGCAATTTTTCGAATTAAGTTTCTCCAGGTTTTTATTTTCTTTATTTTTACAATTCAGTTTTTTGTTTTTCTTTTCTACAATTCTGCGATATCTCTTCGAGTTTTCCGATTTTCCAACTTTCGAATGTTCCAATTTTTAGATTTTGCAGTTTTTCAATTTGAAATTTCACGAGTTTTGAATTTTTAATTTTTCAGTTTTTCATTTCTTCAGTTTTTCGAGAAAAACGAGAAAGTACAGTCCAAAATTATTGAATAATATATTGATGACCCTATGTTTTTTATTAAATCTCGTGTTCTTTGTGCTAAAAAATTGTTGGAAGGAACTATGTACATGAAGGAAAAAAAAACTAAGATTAAGCCCCACCCGCCCGCCCCAATCTCAGTTGTGATGAGTTTTTCATTCCCCATGAGACCGAGGGGCGGACTTCAATTGTAACATCAAAATTTCTCTAGAAAATTGTACTCTTTTAAAAACATGTTTCATATGGTAATTTCTTGTTGGGAAATGAGGATTTTGCAACTAAGCTCCGCCCTCTTGGTTCACGATGAATAAAAAATTCATCACAATTGAGAAGGGGCGGGTGGGCGGGGCTTATATTTTGTCCATTTTTTCTTAATATACGAAGTCTTTTTTCCCAACAAGAAACTGAAAACATGTTAACTATCCTGTTGTTGGAAGAAAACTCTACATATAAAAAAAAAACAAAAAAGATTAAACCCCACCCACCCGCCCCGATCTCAATTGTGATGAATTTTTCAATCGTTGTTAGATCGAGGAGCGGAGTGTAATTGCAAAATACATATTTCTCTACAAAAATTTACCATTTTCAACATGTTTTAAGTTTCTTGTTGTGAAAAGAAGGCTACAGGTATCATAAAAAAAAGGCAAATAAATTTTAATTTTAATAAATTAAACAAAGCATAAGGTTGATCAGGTGATTAAAAGTACGGTACAAACGGGCATTACAAATCGAAAACTACAAAATCGGATAATTGAGAAATCCAAAAAAGCAAAATCGAAAAATTTGAAGATTGGGAAATAAAGTAAATGAAAAATAAAAATAAAGAACTTGAAAATTGAGGAAACAAAAAATTGAAAAATCGAAAAATTAATAATTGAGAAACTGAAGACGCGAAGAATGAAAAATTATAATATCGAAAAATTGCAAAATTGAAAAATATCAAAACGAAAAATTCAAGAAACAATAAACTGAAAAATTTGCAAGCGTGAAATTGAAAAATTGATAAAAGTATTAAAGTTGCAAAAACGAAAAATTATGAAACCGAAACTTTGAAAAATGGAAAAATTAAAAAATGAAAGAAAACGAAAAAACATCTCAAAAATTGGTTAAAGGTAAATATGTATATGTAAATCCAGATTTTTCGAAAAATTATAAGATTTGATTTTGCGAATTTTATTTTTTTATGATAACCCTTGTAAGTTAAAATAAGAATGTGTATGTAATGTTAAAATAAATGTGAACAAGCGTATTGGGCGTAAGTTCCAAATGAGGATTTATTCGGCAAAATTTTGAGATGACGTCAACAATTTTTTGGGAGGGGATAAACGAATAAATTTGGCTTAAGGATTTACCAGGATTAGGATCATCTTAAAATATTTACAAGATTTCAGAATAATCGGTTCTGCAGTTTCAAAGCTATTGTTATTCAGTTTTGATTTTTTTCCAAAAATTCTGGATGTCAAGGGTGAAAATTCGACACGGATTCATACACAACGAGTGCAGGTGTATCTTATTTACAAAATTAAAAAAAAAAATTGTTATAAAACGGGATACCACTTTTTTCCTTAGCTTACGCTCGGGAAGTAAAAATCAGATTACCATAAATATCCAAAATTTTTGCACTTTTGAGACTAAAGCTCCTCTGAGACGTATTCAAATTTTTACATCCCTAGGGCCACAAAGCTGAAACTTCAATTTGACGATTTATTTAGAGCTTTTATTTTATATGTATAGTGTCTCAGATACTACAACGTTATATGGCTGTGGTAAAATTAGGGTATTGTGAAGACGACAATGGAGCAGTTAATTAGGCAAACCCACAGTTTTAATTGTGTTTGTGTTGGTTTAATGTACCAAAAATGTTTAAACAGATTACCCAGCAGTAGGTATTGAGATAAATCCTTGATTTATGACGCAATTATAACACCCCATTATTAAGTTTAGTGGGGCCATCTAACCTTGTAGTATTTCGGACACTATACTTACATTTTTAGTACAGTTTGTGCGATTAGTTATGTTAAATATAACTGAAAACTATTTACCAAAAGCTTGATGTGCTCTTTCTTGAGTAACTGCACTGGTGCGAGTGTTAAGCGCAGATTATTCATCGCTCATTAGAATATTTCCTTGCTTTGAATTTTGTTATTTCCGCTTCACAAATTCTTCGTAACGTTTCTCAAAAATGTCCATTGATTTTAGGGGCAAAAGACGAACTTTTCTGTATATTTTTGAAGGATCACTATCAGTTAAACTCATGTCTTTAACGATTTTTGGAAATGTGAACTTGAAGTGACAATTAACGCTTCAATAACTTCAAAATGACTTGTCTTATTTACACGTGTAACACTGGTTACTAGGAAAAACTCACTATTAATTTGGTAATTCCGAGTAAAAAAAAAACAGTTTTGTTAATTTTTGAGTGAAAATTGTGGTATACATCACGGATTTATGTCTCTTTATTTTAGCAAGAATTCATTATCATGTTTATATTAACATATTTTGGTCAAGTTACTTAGTGTTAGCATGTAGCACTTTTAAGAAAACCACTAGTGAAATTCCAAATTGACGTTAAATTAAGATTTTTTTCCCAAATGATTAGTTTGTGAAGTATAACATGTGTGCACGTTGATGTCCTTGGAATTATGTGTGTGGTTGCAATAATGCATAAACAGTTTGGATGAGTAACAAGTTGTTATTAAATTTCGTAAAATTTAATTCCATAAATTTTGTAATTGCAAAGGTCAGAAAACAAGTATATAATATTTTCTAAAGCATTACAGTTACTAAATACCGAGAGAACATTAAAAAACGCGATCAAAGGCAGCCATAGTTTATCTTTAATGGTAAATTGTAGATATATTTTTAACAACAAAGTAGGTGCTAAAAATCTATAACGAAATGTATCAAGATAGAGTACTACCGGGTCATCAAAAACCCGATTCAGAATAATTTTAGTTTATTAAGTTGTCGAGAAATATTAGCTGCCAGGTTTGAAGTTTCAGATTTCAAAATTCAAAACGCCGTGGCGTCTTTTTTTAATATTTGACAAAAAAAAAAGAAGTACAGATTTGAAGTTTCAAATTTTAGGTTTGTTATTTTTCTACATTTGATTGCGTTTCTTAATATGTCCCTATCTGGGGAGCAGAACAGTTTCCTAAGTTTAAGTGTGAGTATAAATTGCTGGAGTACTTTCTTGTTTGGTCACTGGAATAATTGCGACTTAACCTTACACAAATCTGTCATAAGATTAACAGAAACAAGGAGTACCAACTCTCTGAATCAATTTTTGTGACTCGTTATTATTCTTGTAACAGAAATCGTAAATACTTATTTTAATAGAGATCAACTTATAGCGAAGAATGTATTTACAGAACATGCAATATTTAAAAGAGACTATTGGTAAACCTCTAAATTTAGCTCTGTCGGAAGCAGTGTCAAGAAAAGTGACAGACCCTCTCCAATATCTTGCTCACTATCTTTTGAAATATCGTTACAATAACGAAATATCAAGAAATCAGGAAGACGAAATTGAAGCAATTGAAATGGAGAGATGGGTGTGTAATGTTTGTTTTTTTTCCTGTCTTTTCATTAGTTGATCAAATATGTTCCGAGTAAACACGTATGACTGGAGATTAAAGACATAAAATTGTGATTCATTCTAGGAGTTTCGTTTTATTAGATAAATTACGAAAGTTTTGTATTTATTATATGTACAGAGTAAATTGGGAAACATGCGACTAAAAGACTTTTTACCTACTTCTTAATGAAAAATTAGACAATTCGAAGCATAGAAGTAGTGTCAAAAAATACAATCTTGTTAATAGACTTATCAGAAATAAATATTTTATCTTAACACCAACGAACGAAAGAATTTAGTTTGAAGGAGTCTAGGATTTTTTACCACACATAACTTTATCTATTGAAAGGTTAAACTTTATCAATTATTGTCGGCACTAAAATTAACATAGATATTAAGGTCTCATCAATCCTTGTCGCATTTCGTTACATCGTTTATAAATTTGCTGAATAACGCGAAACAGGTAATAACATGATTCAACAATTTTGTATGAGATAATTTAGCAAATACTCCTCTTTAGAAAAAATCTATTTTTATTTTTGTTAGTTTAGCATGTGTCGAATACGTAATTCACTTCTTAATTAGTGATAATTAATTACCAGCGATGACCCTGAATTTAAGTAAGTTCTTTTGAGATGTGTGTTAATTCTTCGATGGTTTAGTTCTTGCAGTGTGTCACATGGGCGTCGAATCTGTAGTGATAAAAGGTTATACATATTTTTTTAATTTCTTAATAACCGACTGAAATACAGACAGGTTGCAGATTATTTGAAAAACAATCTTCTCTATTTTTTTATTATTATTATTAAAATATATCTTACGATGTTTAGTAAAAATGATATATTTTTGTAGGTTAAGTAAAACCGATTATAATCTCGGCAATAATTTTTATCTATTCATTTACTGAGTGTGTAAATGATAATAATAGTGTGTGATACTTTCCATTTCGTAGAAGAGGGCCTATTTTTATATGAATGGTGTTAGTTCGGCAAATAATTTCTGTTGGATCTTTTATCTAATTTTTTTATTGTTATGCCGGCGTGAGCTGAGGGTAACAGGTTTCATTTGGTGAATGGTTGTGAAATTTTAGAATGATTATAAGAATATGGTGTAGATGATAAAACCGTGATCATCCTCACTAAAAATTTGATGACGCCATTTCAAAGTATTTTACAATTTATAATATTGGTTATAATTTTGTGTGAGAAGTAAAGAAAATTATTAAGTACTTGTATAATGTTGTAAAAATAGATTAAAAGCTGTAGCATTTGCTATGTTGTTAGAAATTACAAATAAGTACATGTTTTTTTTTTCAGTTTCTATTGTCACATATATTGTTTTCACTAATTTGTTTCGTGCATTAGGTGATTCAGATTAGTAGTAGTATCTACTTGCATTTTAATTTTTTTCCGTCTGCAAAGACTAAATTATTTTCCATTACATAGTATTTAATCATTGCCTGCTGTCGATATCACATAAGCAACACTTTATAAATAAAAAAAAAACACAATTGAATTTAGTGCTCATTATCCTCCAGCATGTACGCACATGTCGTTTTGTAGAACTTTATAATTTCTGTCCGACTGTCATTTAACAACGAAACGAACACAGCACATACACGCGACGTGCTCATATATGTAAAAGAATTGCATAATTATATCTAGCGATATCAATTTTATTTATGCTCTTGTTTGCAAGTTGTAATACTCCAGTGATGAGAATCATTTAAATTGACGACGTCTAATAATAGTCTCGTCAAAACGGTCATATCTGGCCAAGGAAATATCTTCGTTTTATCACTTGTATATAAAAATAAGTACCCGCTGAAACAATTCAGTCCTAATCGCGTTTTCGTGTCGTGTGTCTAATCAGGATGGAGACTCTACTAGAAAGGGTATGTATTAACATACACCTCATACTAATATCATCTGTTAAACCACAAGGACGAATTCATAACGTATATTTGGATAATTCCAATAGCAAAACGCCGTGTAATAGTGTAAACAAATACGTTGATGTCCCTCGTTTAAAAATTGGCAACGTAATAGTGAAGAGAATTCATAAATTTTTAATGTTAGTTATGTGCTTTCAAGCAATAATGATAACAAAGTAGATAAGTTTCGTCCCTATTTCGTACGACAGTCACCTAGTAAAAACGTCTCGTCGACTGTGACCATTTTAAAATACTCAATTATCGTAAAAATCAACCCTCCATGTACTGGGACGGCGAAACTGTAAGTGTCAAATTGTTGTTATTATTTTTTGACGTTTTTGTGTTTGCTTGTAGGTTCGGGGCCACACAAGGGCCTCTAGCGGGTCACGTGAATTCAGGGAAGCCACGAAGAGGGACGCGCTTAATTTGCTGGAGAAGGAGTTAGAAAAACTCCTCTCCACAGCTCCAGAAAATGACAGAAATAAAATTCGAAAAGAGTTCGCCGGATTTACAGCTTTATTTGGAAGGTTTCTCGAAGAAACTGGACCTTCTGTTGATTGGGATAAAATTGAGAAGTTGCCTAATGATGCTGTTAGAGATTACAATACTCTGGAGACGCCAACTACAGATACTATACACAATATGCTTAATAAACTGGTAGTTGTTAAACTTAACGGCGGTCTTGGGACTTCTATGGGATGCCATGGGCCTAAATCGGTGATAGCGGTGCGGAATGATCTCACTTTCCTCGATTTGACAGTACAGCAGATAGAGGTACAAGAACAATTTTGATTCACAATTTTACTAATCCTCTCGGTTTTAGCACCTTAATAAAACATACAAGGTCAACGTCCCTTTGATTTTGATGAATTCGTTCAATACGGACGAAGATACGGAGAAAGTTATTAGGAAATACAAAAATCTTCAAGTGGAAATTCATACGTTTAATCAGTCCTGTTACCCACGAGTAAATAGGGAAACTTTAATGCCTATTACTAAAAAAGTGGACGTGCATAACGATTTGGAATCGTGGTATCCGCCAGGTCACGGCGATTTTTACCAAAGTTTTAGGAATTCGGGATTGCTGAAGAAATTCATTGATGACGGAAGGGAATATTGTTTCATTTCGAATATCGATAATTTAGGAGCCACTGTGGATTTGAATATCCTGAACTTGCTGTTGAATCCAAAGGATAAAATTCAACACGAGTTTGTGATGGAAGTTACAGACAAAACCAGGGCTGATGTTAAGGTAAGAAGCTGTATTTTTGCAAATTGGCAGTGAACAAATTTCTAAAAAAATGTTTGTAAAACTTGCTTAATTGTGCACTCAAAAGTACATTTTGTGTTACTGAACAAACAACCATTAATATTATTTAAGCTAATGGGATAAAATATTTTCAGTCCACAGTATTTACAATTCTACATAAAAACAGACGTTCTTCTTTGAGATGAGTCAAAGTTTGTGCAAAACCTTGAGTGTGAAATTTTCTAAAGCGGGTAACAAAAGCAAACCTTTTTTATAACAAGAAAATACGAAAATGCACATGGAGCGTGAGAAGTCTTTACGTCAAATATGTACTGTTTTTAACACAACTTGGAAGTTTTAGACTTAATATTTTTGAGTAAGAAAAAATGTCATGTGCAAAATGGGTCAATGTAATAAAAAGTTTTGGATTGAGAGTAGCAAAAATTTTTTCAAATCGTGTACAATTTTCCAGGTAATTATTACTTTAGCGACAGAAAATTGAGTGTTTGCACGTGGTAGTTTTGAAATTGAGTTTAAATATCTTTCCTCTGGACTGCTAGTGTGATAAAATTTTGTTACCGGTTTCGCAATATTTATCGCATACTGCGTGGTGATTAATTTTTTAACAAAACGCTTGTTTCCCTTGTCGGATTTTTACATCCATGTGTTACGAAATAGTATATTTTATAGGTTACAGAAGCTCGATTTAGGCAGATATCTTGTATCAGTTCTAAACAAACATCTTAAAATTTTGTTTATATTTGTAATACAGGTACTATGAAAAACTTGCGTGCACAAGATGCCGTAAGTAAAACTAAGCTGTATTCTATAACACGACTTAAATCTAACTTGATCTTGTTGCTATTAATCAAAAAATCGCACTCTACGTGTAACGTTAAACTGATTTGTATAATTGACCTCAAGTAATTTCTTTCATTTAAAAATAAAAATGCACAAAATGCCCAACTATAGTTGAGAATAAAGGCTAAAAAGTGACAAGGCGGATGAGTAATTTTATTGCGTACTATTTCACACGCGATTAGATAGATAAATTTATTGTGATCATTTAGACTTTAGATGAGAAATATGTCGAATATGAAGTGAACTCTGTATAATGATGAGAGCACTGGCATCTATTGCGTAAATTGTTTAAAAGTTATTTGTAGGCTGAGATATTAATTATTAATTATTAGTTAACACAGTTAATTTTTAGTTTTAAAATACTTTGTAAATACACAATTAAAGATGTGCCAGTCATATTTTGTTTAGAAAAAAACTAAAAAAGGATGTTTTGTTAAAAGAACAAAAGAAATATCGTCACAGAGTTAACTAGTAACTGCCTATAACGTCGTTAAAATTCTTCTCTTTTTGTACAGAGAGCAAAGATTTACAGTTTTATTGTAAACAAAAATTGGTTGAAGGTTATTTCAACAGAACTTCCATGGCCTCTGAAGTGCAGCCAAATAAATTCCACTTTTTCGAAAAATTTTGTTTTTGCAATTTTTCTTTTCTGATATCCTCTATAAAGTCAAATCCAGTGGCGTAAATAACGATCCCACAGCTTTTTTGACTTGAATTTTTCAGTTCTTCAATCTTTCATTTTTTGTTTCATTTTTAGATTTCAAATTTTTCGAGTTTCCAACTTTTGAATTTTTCAATTTATAGATTTTGCAATATTTCGTCGTAGTTTTTTATTTTCTTTCTTTCTACAATTTTTCAATTTTTTGTTTTTTCAATTTTTCGTTTCGTCAATTTTTCCATTTGCAATTTTTCATTTATTGTTTTTCTTTTCTACAATTCTTCGAGTTTTCATTTTTAAATTTTCCAGTTCTCCGATTTCCAACTTTCGGACGCTTCAATTTTTAGATTTTGCAGTTTTTCGATTTGAAATTTCACGAGTTTTGAATTTTGAATTTTTCAATTTTTACATTTCTTCAGGTTTCCGAAAAAAAAACGGGAAAGTACAAGTTATTCTACGTGGCTTACATTAGAAGAACAGTCCAAAATTATTGAATAGTATATTGACCCTATGTTCTTAATTATAATATCTCTTGTTCTTTGTGTCAAAAAATTGTTGGAAGAAACTATGTACATGAAGAAAAAAAAAACTAAGATTAAGCCCCACCCACCCACCCCGATCTCAGTTGTGATGAGTTTTTCATTTCTAATCAGACCGAGGGGCGGGGTTTAATTATCAAAATTTCTTTAGAAAATTCTACTCTTTTAAAAACCTGTTTCATATGGTAATTTCTTGTTGAGAAATGAGGATTTTGCAACTAAGTCCCACTCGACAGAAGAACATAACTAGCCCCGCCCACCCACCCTGCCTCTTTTTCAGTGATTGATTTTATCCGATCTGAATCAAATAAATGAGCTTATACTTAACAGAAGTAAAATTAGTCCTTAGAAATAGAAGAGGGGGGGAGGCTAGTACTTATAAGATAAGGCTGATTTTGGCAAATCAAATACCTTCCAAAAAAAAACAGAGGGTGGGTGCGCGGGGCTAATATTTGATAAGATAAAACTGATTTTGACATTTTCGACTATTTTTCTAACTAGAAGAAGTCAGGTCACGGTAGGTCGAGTCAGGTCAGATGCATGAAATAAGAAATAAATTTTATAGCAAATAGTATAATAAAAAAAATACGATTAGCGTTTTTTTTTTTACTTTTTTCATTAGACTATTCTAGATTCTATTATTAGTTTCCAGTCTCACTCGACAGAAGAACATAACTAGTCCCGCCCACCCACCCTGCCTCTTTTTCGGTGATCGATTTTATCCGATCTGAATCAAATAAATGACCTTATCCTTGACAGAAATAAAATTAGTCCTTAGAAATAGAAGAGGGGGGAGGCTAGTACTTACTAAGATAAGGCTGATTTCGGCAAATTAAATACCTTCCAAAAAAACAGAGGGTGGGCGGGTGGGGCTAATATTTGATAAGATAAGACTGATTTTGGCACTTTTGACATTTTCAACTATTTTTCTAACTAGAAGAGGTCAGGTCACGGTAGGTCAAGTCAGGTCAGATGCATGAAATAACAAATTTTATAGTAGCAAATAGTATAACAAAAAAAAAAAAAAAATATACGATTAGCGTTGTTTTTTTTACTTTTTTCATTAGACTATTCTAGATTCTATTATTAGTTTCCAGTCCCACTCGAAAAAAGAACATAACTAGCCCCGCCCACCCACCCTGCCCCTTTTTGAGTGATTGATTTTATCCGATCTGAATCAAATAAATGACCTTATACTTAACAGAAGTAAAATTAGTCCTTAGAAATAGAAGAGGGGGGGAGGCTAGTACTTACTAAGATAAGGCTGATTTCGGCAAATTACATACCTTCCAAAAACACAGAGGGTGGGCGGGTGGGGCTAATATTTGATAAGATAAAACTGATTTTGGCACTTTTAACATTTTCGACTATTTTTCTAACTAGAAGAGGTCAGGTCACGGTAGGTCAAGTCAGGTCAGATGCATGAAATAACAAATTTTATAGCAAATAGTATAACAAAAAAAAAAAAAAATACGATTAGCGTTTTTTTTTTTACTTTTTTCATTAGACTATTCTAGATTCTATTATTAGTTTCCAGTCCCACTCGAAAAAAGACCATAACTAGCCCCGCCCACCCACCCTGCCCCTTTTTGAGTGATTGATTTTATCCGATCTGAATCAAATAAATGACCTTATACTTAACAGAAGTAAAATTAGTCCTTAGAAATAGAAGAGGGGGGAGGCTAGTACTTACTAAGATAAGGCTGATTTCGGCAAATTAAATACCTTCCAAAAAAACAGAGGGTAGGCGGGTGGGGCTAATATTTGATAAGATAAAACTGATTTTGGCACTTTTGACATTTTCGACTATTTTTCTAACTAGAAGAGGTCAGGTCACGGTAGGTCAAGTCAGGTCAGATGCATGAAATAACAAATTTTATAGCAAATAGTATAACAAAAAAAAAAAATACGATTAGCGTTTTTTTTTTTTTTACTTTTTTCATTAGACTATTCTAGATTCTATTATTAGTTTCCAGTCCCACTCGAAAAAAGACCATAACTAGCCCCGCCCACCCACCCTGCCCCTTTTTGAGTGATTGATTTTATCCGATCTGAATCAAATAAATGACCTTATACTTAACAGAAGTAAAATTAGTCCTTAGAAATAGAAGAGGGGGGGAGGCTAGTACTTACTAAGATAAGGCTGATTTCGGCAAATTACATACCTTCCAAAAACACAGAGGGTGGGCGGGTGGGGCTAATATTTGATAAGATAAAACTGATTTTGGCACTTTTGACATTTTCGACTATTTTTCTAACTAGAAGAGGTCAGGTCACGGTAGGTCAAGTCAGGTCAGATGCATGAAATAACAAATTTTATAGCAAATAGTATAACAAAAAAAAAAAAAAAATACGATTAGCGTTTTTTTTTTTTACTTTTTTCATTAGACTATTCTAGATTCTATTATTAGTTTCCAGTCCCACTCGAAAAAAGAACATAACTAGCCCCGCCCACCCTCCCTGCCCCTTTTTGAGTGATTGATTTTATCCGATCTGAATCAAATAAATGACCTTATACTTAACAGAAGTAAAATTAGTCCTTAGAAATAGAAGAGGGGGGGAGACTAGTACTTACTAAGATAAGGCTGATTTCGGCAAATCAAATACCTTCCAAAAAAAAACAGGGTGGGTGGGTGGGGCTAATATTTGATAAGATAAAACTGATTTTGACACTTTTGACATTTTCGACTATTTTTCTAACTAGAAGAGGTCGGGTCACGGTAGGTCACGTCAGGTTCACGATGAATAAAAAATTCATCACATTGAGAAGGGGTGGGTGGGCGGGGCTTATATTTTGCCCATTTTTACTTCCCGAGCGTAAGCAAAGGAAGTATTGTAATCGAGTCCGTCGGCCGACTCTCTACTTGTACGTTTTCTCGATCTTTCATGACCCCTAGAAGACGAAGAAATAGGTCTCCCATTTCCGTCTGTCTGTCCGTCTGTCCGTCCGTCTGTCCGTCTGCCGTCCCGGATTTTTATTAGACAGATAATCTCCGAAAGTACTCGACCGATTGTTGTGAAATTTTGTACTTATATTAAGAATATCATGTAGATGGTAAAACGCTAACCAAAATTTGTCTAATCATCCCCACCACTAATGCGATGACGTCACTTCAAAATTGTACATAGTAAATGGGTTTTCAATTGTATAAAATAACATAGTCCTACACATGTAGTTTACAACTCTGAATCGACTTTTCACCCGAAACGTCCAGATTTTTGGAAAAAAAATCAAAATTATAAAACAACATTTTGAAATTTAATTTTTAATCTGCTAACCAGAATGCTTTGAAATGTTGCAGATGTTTTAAGGCTATAAAGAGCATCATAAATCTTTAGTCAAAAAATATTTGCTTATCCCCTCCAAAAACTTGATGACGTCAGGTCAAAAGTTTGTGGAATAAATCATATCCATAATGTACAAAATATGATGAGTCTGTACTTGTGATCTATCACTCCATTCATATTTTTTGGATTTGCATATACAGGGTGACTCAAAAAAATTAATGAATGCGTAAATTTATTTTACTGATTTACTCAGAAACTACAAAACCGAATGCTTTGAAATCTTGCAGATGTTTTAAGGTTATAAAGAGCATAATAAATGTTTAGTCAAAATATATTTGCTTATCCCCTCCAAAAAATTGATGACGTCAGCTCGAAAGTTTGCCGAATAAATCCTATCTAAACTGTAAAAATATGATGAGTCTGTACTTGTAATTTATCACTCCATTCATATTTTTTGGATTTGCATATACAGGGTGACTCAAAAAAATTAATGAATGCGTAAATATATTTTATTGATTTAATCAGGAACTACAAAACCGAATGCTCTGAAATCTTGCAGATGTTTTAAGGTTATAAAGAGCATAATAAATTTTTCGTCAAATCTTCTACAAAAAACTGATGACATCAGCTCAAAAGTTTGCCGAATAAATCGTATCTAAAATGTACAAAATATGATGAGTCTGTACTTGTGATTTATCATTCCATTCATATTTTTGGATTTGCATATGCAGGGTGACTCAAAAAAATTAATGAAGGCGTGAATTTATTTTATCGATTTAATCAGGAATTACAAAACCGAATGCTTTGAAATCTTGGGAATATTTTAAAGTTATTATAAGCATGGTAAACTTTTGTTCAAAATGTATTTGTGCATCCCTCCTAAAAAAATTGATGACGTCACCCTTAAATTTTGCTGAATAAATCCTATCTAAAATGCAAAAAATATGATGAGTTTGTACTTGTGATTTATCATTCCATTCATATTTTTTAGATTTTCTTAAGAGGTGGTTCAAAAAAATTAATGAAGTCAATTTATTTTATTGATTAAATTAAAGGCAACACTTATTATTAGTATTACACCCCAACCAACCCAATTTGGTAGACACAAAATTTGTTAAAGGAAAAACTCGGTTGAAACATAAGGGTAGCACGCTTATTTACATCGACTTTAACATTACAGACCTGCATTTGTTTTATGCGCTCACTTGGTTCCGCGAATGTGAAATAGACATGTTTATAATCAACCAATTGTGAATTTCACCGTCAAGAATTAAAATAAAACCCATGGTCGTTTTGTTTACAGTTTCTCTGTTTGACTCTCACGTATGCTGTTACGCTTGTCATCTTAAATTAAGAATGTTTATACATAAACGATTTTCAGTTGCCTTTCATATTACTAGACAGCGGATTTTTGTCGGGCTACGTCACGTTTAATCGGTACTAATTCCATAAATATAATTAACGATTTATTAATCAAACGGCTAAGTAAATGAGAACGGGAATTAACAGCAGAGTGCAACGAAACAGCGTTATTCTAATCTCAAATAAACGAAGTGCAGTCCGCAACCGCAATGAATTCGCATCCCGTACGAGCCGTACCGAGTTTGGCCTTGCCTAGCCCGACAGAAATCCGCTCTCTAGATATTACACACCGACGCCGTATACGTGAGTAAATTGTTTCGTTATTTTATTGATTATAAGAAATCAATATTCAAAACGACCCAATTCATTTTCCCGAAAATTTGGGAATACAATAATTTTATTCTTAGTATTACACTACATCTATCCCAACTGATATACATGTCCTTGCAAAAATGTTGATGACGTCATCACAATTTTTTTTTAAATTCCCACTACAAAAATGTAATGAGAAAAAAAAAACACAATAGGCATGCAGTCGTCAAGTTTCCGACAGCGAGGGAAGTACTGTCTAAACTCTTTAGACCAATTTTTTTCTTAATATACGAAGTCTTTTTTCCCAACAAGAAACTGAGAACATGTTAACTATCCTGTTGTTGGAAGAAAACTCTATATATTAAAAAAAAACAACAAAGATTAAACCCCACCCACCTGCTCCGATTTCAATTGTGATGAATTTTTCATTCGTTGTTAGACCGAGGAGCGGAGCGTAATTGCAAAATACATATTTCTTCTTTGAAAAATGGAAAAATTGAAAAATGAAAAAACATCTCAAAAATTGGTTAAAGGTAAAAATAAATTCAGATTTTTCAAAAAATTACAAGATATAAACAAGCGTGTTGGGCGTAAGTTTCAAATGAGGATTTATTCGGCAAAATTTGGAGATGACGTCATCAATTTGTTGAGAGGGGATAAACGAATAAATTTTGCTTAACGATTTACCATGATTACGATCACCTTAAAATATTTACAAGATTTCAGAGTAATCGGTTTTGCAGTTTCAAAGTTACATTGCAAAATATTGTTATTCAGTTTTGAATTTTTTCCAAAAATTCCGGATGTCTGGGGTGAAAATTCGACACACCACAAGTGCAGGCGTATCTTATTTACAAATTAAAAAAAAAAACTTTATTATAAATTTTGGAGATAACGTCAATCCATTGGTGGTGGGGATGATTAGCCAGGATTTAGTTAGCGTTTAACCATCTATATGATATTCCTAATATACATACAAATTGTGACAACAATCGGCCCAGTAGTTGCGAAGATTATTTGTCAAGTGACAATTCGGCCGATGGACTCGATTACTATACTTCCTTAGCTTACGCTTGGGAAGTAAAAATAATAGTAAATGTCATAAAATGTGCCTAAATTCAAAATAAAGGTTTGTGGAATTCCAAACTGATAATTCTACTTTTCCCGTTGGAAAAATGCACCATCTGGTGTTGACTTCTTGAATACATATAGTATACTAGCTGACCCGGCCACGCGTTGCTGTGGCTAAAGTTTTTGTTATATTACATTATAGTAAACAATCTAAGAGTAACAATAAGAGAACATCAGTCACGGAGTCCACTATGCTTTTTCACACAGATGGTATTTGTAAAAAAATATGGTGATCTCCTTATTTGACTTTCTACTACTATAACCCTTTAGTACAATGAAATTATTTACGAACAAAGACGAAAATGTTGATGTTGGTATACAAATTCACTGGATTGAGATTTGAAGGGGAAGTACGTTGAACACAATATTTCGTTCACTACAAAATAAATTTAATTAATTTTATAGCGTCAACAACACGTGGTAATTATGCTGTTAAAATGTAGCTTATATGACACGTTCGTAGATTTTAATGTGACTCGATCTTGAAATGTGTGGCAATTAGTAACTTTTATGAAATAGAAATATATCTGTGTCCTTGTTATGCTCCGTCTTTTCGACAGCAGGTATTTTTTGCTTCCGGTATGGCGATCCTGTTACTGTCAATTGGCCGTCAATTGCCTTGGTGGTAACACGTCTTCCACGACTGTTTGCTGGTTACCGGTGACACTTTCTCGTTGAATAGGGCTGGAGTTACTTTGGGACTGGAATAGTGTTCTTTCCGGTCCGTTAACTCAATAATTCTAGTACAGTCTGTCGTAACCTCAAATCGTAAACACATCAAACTTTCGTTGACAGATAGCGAAAATTACTAGCCTCGCGCTATCTTTGTTTAACACATAGGTTAGGTTCCTCTCTGTCGAATTCCGACCACAGGCAGTTTGCCGTACTTTCTAAAAGTAATAGTAGATCTAGTGACTTTAGTAGATTTACCATAGCAGCGCCATCTATTGATTACTTACTCAACCCAGTCGAAAGGTATCGACATCTGTTAGAATCATTTGGAGTTAAGAGATAATTGTGACTGTCAAATAATAACAGACAAATAATTAGCAATAAATTAAAATTGCGACTATAATTTGAGATTTAAACTATCCTATCTCTCAAGTTGGATCGAACTGCACATGGTGTGCGAATTTTATTATAATCGGTTAAGTGGTTTAGGAGTCCATTGAGGACAAACATTGTGACACGAGATTTATATATATTAAGATAAGATGTATATGGTGAAGGTAACACCAAATCAAGTAAAAGACAGTCATACTGTATACAATAGGTGAAAAATATATATATTAGTTTTAGTAATACTAGTAAATTTTGAACCTGATTTAAGTGGAAAATTGAAATGTATAAATTAAAATATTTTCACCATAACTAAAAAAGTTAACGCGTTCTAATGAACGTTGATTAATATAACGAGGATTATATTAGGTGGTAAATTAATTTAACCCTATCTTTGACCTTAAAGCCCGGTTTTATAAAAAGGTTGTTAAATTAACTATGCGATTAATTCATCATAAGTAATTAAATTAAAGCGCTATTAAATATAGACAATCAGAACCCAGTAGTCTCCATTTAGTAAAATTGTTACGTCAAAATGCACATAAATTTTTAAAATTTTTTTATTTTATTATCTGACAAAACTTTTTGCTGATTTTCGTATTTCCTTTATTATAATTTTCTAAATTAAGAATCGGTTTAAAATTTAATGTGCCTATTTCTCAAACTAGACCTTAAAGTAAAAATCAACATACAAACTCAACTCTCTGAAAAACAACTTTTCATTATCAAAATATATACTGTCAATTTTGTCTTCTACAGGGTGGTACTTTAATCCAATATCAAAACAAACTCCGACTTCTTGAGATCGCACAAGTCCCAAAAGAGCACGTTGATGACTTCAAATCAGTTAAAACGTTCAAATTCTTCAACACAAATAATCTTTGGGCTAAGCTTGACGGTAATCCAATATCAAAATAACGCTCCCATTTTTAACAAAATTTTTCATGTTTCAGCTATTGAACGAGTTCTCACCGAAGGGTCCCTCAGTTTGGAAATAATTATTAACAACAAAACATTAAACAACGGATTGAATGTCATCCAGTTAGAAACCGCTGTTGGTGCAGCCATGAAATCGTTCGAAGGAGGTATTGGAATCAATGTACCTCGCAGTCGATTCTTGCCAGTGAAGAAAACATCGGATCTCCTTTTGGTTATGAGCAATCTTTATAGTTTAAAGAACGGATCGCTAGTTATGTCGCCGCAGAGAATGTTCCCCACTACTCCTTTGGTTAAATTAGGGGACAACCATTTCGCTATAGTTAAAGACTTTCTAGGAAGATTCGCGAATATACCGGATTTAATTGAGTTAGATCACTTGACCGTTTCTGGTGATGTTACGTTCGGTAGGGGAGTTTCATTGAAGGTATTAATGGAGCAAAAGTGAGGTTTGCGTTTTTTTAATAGTTTATGTTTCAGGGTACTGTAATTATAATAGCAAATCATGGAGACAGAATTGATATTCCTTCAGGTGCCAATTTAGAAAATAAAATAGTTTCCGGAAATATGCGTATTTTAGACCACTAGTGTTTGTTATGTGTGTACATTTTTTCTTTAGTTTTAAACGTGTAGATATTTTTTGTATACTTATATAAAATTTTACTTCATTTGTAGTAAAATTGTTTTCTATTTATTAAAAAAAAATGAATGTGCAATTCTAGCATAAATATACATATTTTTTGTCATGTATCCAAGTTTGATTTAAATCTTTCGTAAAAGTTACGTCACACGCGCTGAACTCCGCAACAGGAACGTAACGCAATTACATACTTAAAGAAAAATAAATAACTGTGAAGGTAGAGAATTTATTGATGCGTCAATTTTTAGAATAAAGTCTTTCAAGATTTAGATCAGCTTTCAATTTTTGGTAAAAAAAATATTTAAAGTAACTGCTATTGTATGCAGGTTAAGTTTATTGTTTCTGCTCTACGTTTTTATGCGTGGTAAGTCCACAAGACTTTATTTGGTTTTTTGGTTACGTTTCCGTTTACGGCGAATGGACAAGAGTTTTTACATTTGCCAAAATGCTAGTATTTGCTAAGATAAGACTGATTTTGGCAAATAAAATACCCTTTAAGAAAATAGAGGGCGGGTGGGCGGGGCTAGTCCTTGCTAAAATAAGACTAATTTTGGCAAACGACATATCCTTTGAGAAAATAGGGGGCAGATAAAAAAATATGAATGAAGTGATAAATCACAAGTAAACATTCGGCAAAATTTTGAGATGACGTCATCAATTTCTTGGAGGGAATCAACAGATATATTTGGTTGCATGCTTACAATAACCTTAAAATATCTGCAAGATTTCAAAGTATTAATTTTTGCAATTCTTGATTTATTCAATAAAATAAGTTGATTGATTAATTCATTTTTTTGAGTCACCCCCTATAAGCAAATCTAAAAAATACGAATGCATTGATAAATTACAAGTATAGACTGATCATATTTTGCACATTTTAAATAGGATTTATTCGGCAAAATTGTGAGCTGACGTCATCGATTTTTTGGAGAGGATAAACTACATGTGTAGGGCTATGTTATTTTATACAATTTAAAACCCATTTGTATGTACGATTATGAACATTATTGGTAAGGATGATTAAACAAATTTTGGTGAGCGTTTTACCATCTATAATACATGATATTCCTAATATAAATACAAAATTTGACAACAATTGACTCAGTACTTTTGGAGATTATCTGTCTAATAAAAATCCTGGACCGCAGACAGACACAGACGGAAACGGCAGACCTATTCCTTCGTACTCTAGGGGTCATGAAAGGTCGAGAAAACGTAAAAGTAGAGTCGGCCGACGGTCTCGATAACAATATTTCCTTCTCTTACGCTCGGGAAGTAATATAGATAAATTTTAACAAAGTGGTTAAACCCAGAACTATTTTTGATGGGGTATTCAGACGTGCGTTCTACCTATGACAATAATAACAAATTATTTAAACTTTTTGTTTTATTAGTCATTCCATCGGTCAAGGTTATTACAGGAACGTAATTTTATCTTGTTGCGGTCATTCATGAGAAATTTCATAAAAAAAAAATGCAACCACGATGCAAACAGGAGTTTAAGTTGTGAATAATTAGTATTATAATACAATAATACTCCCGCAGCAGCCATTTTTTTCTGAAATTTCTGTTTTTTTGCACAATTTGCACAACAAACTTTTGGATAAATAAGGGAGGCTGTGATAATTAATATAGATACAGGTAAGCTTATCCTATATCTATATCTAGTACGTCTAACGTGCGCTGATCACAGCCTCCCTTAATCTAAAAGTCTAATTATAAAACTTTGTTGCTCATACGGTACGCTTCCGTTTATGGCAAGTGTACAAGGGCCTTTACATAATAATTGACTAGAGGCCTTACGTTCTTTATTACAGAATCAAATTGCCTATGATGTTTTTTAAAAATGAAGTGATTATAAACAGAAACATCGTCATATAATAAAACTGGGAAACCCTTTGGGAAACAAAAAATAAGTCAAGTTCGCCCTGGGGATATTTTACTTTTACGTACAATGATGTCAAATATTACAAAGAAATTATTTAAAAATACTTAGTACTTCATGTAGTACGAATAGGCATGGTTAAAATTTTATAATTTTCTCGTATATATTACACTAATTGAAAAAAAGTTAATTGCATTTTAATTTATAGCAATGATGTGGGCGATTGCTTAAAAAACGACAAAATAACTTCAAAGTTATGGTTAATGTAAACGGAAATGTTTTGAACTTGAGAATACAACCCGAACATGCCAATAACCGGTACGACAGAAGGTTAAAATAAAAAATTAAATTAAATAAATAAATAAAAGCTGCTACTTTAGCCACGTCCCCGCCATTCACTTTTAAACAGTTTAAATTTAAAAAATCCCTGCAATCAGGACACTACATTTATTATTATTTAGAGCACTGAAGCCGCGTTGTTTCCACAAAAGTATGTTCAAAATGAAACTATTTTGGTATAGTTTCGCATTTGCCTAAAAATGCCCTAAGTTCTGCCAGTGCCTTTCATGAAATTGGCAATTAAAAACCCCAAGTCAGCTCAGTCGGTAATTTGGCGCGTTTAGCTAGGCGGTCAGCCGCCATTTTAAGCGATCACGTGACCAGCTACTAGTGCGTTGTGGTTTTACTGAATTATACAGGTATGGTTAATGTTCTCGTTTTCATCTGATTTACAATTGTTAGTGAGTGTCTATCAAGGTATTGTGCTCTATATCGTGCCCTAAACGCGAATTCTAGCAAGGAAACAAGTTTTTACTCACCGGATCCGCGTGAATTTCCTCGTACTGTTTGGTTGTCACAAACTGCTATCTTTCCAAGCTCTGAAATGGCGTCCCTCCACATGGTAAAATAGCGGTCGTTGGGACCCGTGGGCTCCCTGGACGTTGAATCCGTGGTCGCGAAAAGCGTGATTTTGGTCGGATTTGTGCCTTTCACGATGCGATAAACTCGCAACGTTAAGATTCTTTCGCACGGTTCGAGACAGTGTTGCCATTGTAATAACATTAGCTAGCCGGAAAATCAAGTTATTTCGCAAGAACTGTTTTGTGAAAATGTTATTTGCTCTTATTCCCATCAGACTTGAAGTTTGGGACGCGACGTAAATTAGTCATCAATTTTTGTCAACTGGTGACGTTACTAATGTTGTTGGGTGCTGCGAGCAGTTCTGTGAAAATTGCGCCGATTTTGTACATTCACTCGTACTTAAAATGCCCTAATTTGGCTAATTTTACCACTTTGCAGCGAGTTCTACACATTTTTTAACTTTGTGTTACCTGTTGTTTACAGATAGTTTGTAAATAGTACACTGTACATACTGTACAAATCATGAGTTCGAGCAATCGAACCACCTCTAAGGGTGGGAAAGGGTCGAAGACCGACAATAAATCACACAAATCAGACAAATCCGATACAGGTGAGTTTTTGCATATAAATACCAAGAAGTACAAATAAAGGTGTTACAGGCAAGGGTTCAGACAAACAGCAAGCTAACAGAGACAGTACACATTCAAAATCAGAAGATCCGTCTATTAAAGAAAAAGTCCGGCAACTTATTGAAATGTCCCAGCGATCTGAAGAAGAGGTCTGTTTAGCTCTCCATGAATGCGATTTCGATGTAAACATGGCCATGAACATGCTCCTTGAAAATACGGGTCACGTAAGTGTCTCTTTCCATAGAAATACACGTATTTTTTAATTTTTAAGTGGTAAACCAGTATCTTAACAAAGTACTGTGTCTGCTGAGTGTAGTTTGGATTGTTTTTTTTGTAATATTTTCAGACAGATATGTAATAGTTTTCTTTTAAAAATGGCTTTTTAGATAAATGTTTGTTTTGATTTTGATGTCTGAAGTATTTCACGGGAATTTAAAAGTTGTAATATTTTATTTAATTTCATGTGTATTGATTTCATATCACCCTTGGTTTTTGACCAGAAATGAATTACTTATATTTGCAGCCATAACTCATGGTTAATTTTAAATGAATCATGTCCATGTCAAATAAGGAATTTTGCTGATCATATTTACATAGAATTTATGAAGTTCTCGTAATTTTCTCATGATTGCAGGTTCATATTTAAAATACCTAAAAAGTCACGTTAAAAGAACAAATGTAGCTCATCTTTTTGACATGTTTACTTTTGGGGTATTTTTCACGTGTTCTGTAAAATTTATTACAACAGACTTTTTTTATTTGTTTGCCAAGAATTTCCGGAAACTATCTGACCTTGAAGCTTGCTAAAAATTGTAAATGTTTGCTAATCCCAATACTATAAAAACACGGTAAATACTTTTTGGAGCAAGCAAGGGTTATTTCGTTCTATCTCGTTTTTGGTAAAGTAATTTGTTTTATGTATGAAACACCCTGCTAAATCCCATTCCAAATCAATATAGTTGGAGGTCAAACTTCGTACCTTAAAACCTGTTATGATTTTCGTTTGTACTAGTATCATAATGAACATTACCCAAAAATTAAGTTAAAGGACTGTTTTATTAAAATTTATAAATAATACACAAAATTTCAAAAACGTTTTAATTTGTTTAACAACAAAGTTCACTTGTCTTGATTTGGAATATGTAATCGAGATTAAGTCAAGTTATAAATATTAAAGAAATTTTTATTACACAGTATAGAAATTTATAGTAGAGTGTTATGCATTACTCATTATTTGTCATACATATTATGTGTAAAAGCGATAACATTTCTTCAGTCTGTATTTTTCCTATTCCTTATCGAGTTTCGTGAAATTTGTAGCATACAGAAGCAATTGCAAACGTGGAGTTTTTAATTTTTCAAAATTAAATTTCATTAGAACGAGCAAATAATTACTGCGTCGACCATGTTAAGCTAAAGTTATATTATAAGATGTTTATTCAGTAAGAAACTGTATTTTACTAGAAATGAAGAGAAAAAAATCTGATACACCGTATGTAGAAATAAGCTTTATAAATATTCGGAGTATCATTTTTGCTTTGTTTTAAAACTAAGGTAAAACACCAAGTGGAATTTGATTGAAATATTTTATTTGGATAGTTTTCACAAAATTGTAATATTATAACAGAGGAATAAAAGTGCATATTTATCGAAAAATAAGTAATAAACTGAAACTGGAACGTTATCAACCAGCTGATAACCGATTAGATTTTTTATCATTTGAGCATTTAAGTCGGCTATGATTGAATGACGTCCATAATTTGCTAATTCCTTTATTTGTTTATTTTTTTTAATTGTTTTGGTTTAATTCGATTGAAACAATAATTGATTACTGATATGAAAATTGATTTTTATTTTCCAAACGTACGCTAAAGAATCGCCACTTTCAAGTTGTCTCGACGTTTCATGACCCCAATAACTAGGTTTTCTATTTCCGTCCGTCTGTCTGCCGTCGGTCCAAATTTTGATTAGACACATAATCTACCAACTATCTGACCGATTGTTGTGAAATTATAAATGCATGGACTGTGTCCTCTTACACTTTGCGAGCCTCTCGGTGCATGGGATACGAGGGTGTTATTTAGGCTACTGCCTAACATATTTCTTTACCTGTGCTTTGACAGTTCACACATGAATTTCTTTTTAATTATAGATGTTACAATGAAAAATTAAATTTTAACATTTTTAGAAGAAGCTTTATTTGTTCGAGTGTACTTCAAGAGCGGGGGAAGTTGTGTTTAAGTAACCTTAGAGCAATTTTTACTGTTGGGGCAGCTCTTTCATTAATCTAAAATGCTGTGGGTTGCGTGTGTTTTTGAGAAAATAAATTCGTTATAAACAGTTCATTGTGTTGACATCGAAAATTGCTTTGTAAAACTTATGCCTTATAGCAATATTAAAAATGTGTTTTTGTACACAGTTCGGACGTTGCTTCTAGGGTAAATTACATTAATAATGTACTTTATTTCCTGTTGTTGTTTCAAGCCAGACAGTGCAAATTAACGCACTTTGATAAGAAATACGGAACGTGATTGGTATGAATATTTTAATAACGTCAATTCTATGTATTTTTTTTTTTATATTTCCTGGATCAAAACTGCAATGTTAGTCAGTATTATTCGGGAAGGAAGGAAATATTTATAACGCTATATTCAAAGACTCCACAAAAAATTATTAAAGTACACGTTCAAACTTATTTTTTTACGGTAGATAAAATTAAATAATTCATCAGGATTGTTACTTAAAAATTCATCAAGTTGTTTTATAGTCGAAATTTTCGCTTTGTTTGATTTATAATTTTCAAGCTAATAACTTTGGGTACTTGCTTATATTCAAATTTCTTTTAATTTTGAAATTGATCATTTTTGTGTTTTCAAAAAAGTATATCAGATGTTTTAAAGTTATGATAAACATGAACATTTTTAATTCAAAATATATTTGCTTATCGCCTCCAAAAAGTTGATGACGTCATGTAGAATATGATGAGTTTTCACTTGTGATTTATCATTACATTCATATTTTTTAGATTTGCGTAAATACGTGGCTCAAAAAAAAAGAGTGACTTAATTTATTTTATTGTTGATATACCTGTCCTTGCAAAAATGTTGATGACGTTATCACAATATTGTGTAAAGAAAAAACTCAATTCTAAAATGTTGGATACGTTTCATTGTACTTCAGGAGCGAGGGAAGTTCTTTCGAAATAACTTTCGACCAATTTAATTTTTTTTCGAGTTTTTCCGTCGAGCTTATCGATCATTTTTTGCTCACATTTTTATTAGTATTGTCAAAATACAATTGTATAAAATATTTGATTTTATAACTGTCATTATACCATTTGCGCACTACTTACGTAACTGTTGGAATAGTTGGTGGATTTGTGCTGAGTCGCATCGAATTATGAGTTGTTTGAAATACCGTTTCGCAAAACGTGCATGAACGAACAAAAATTTAAAATACAGAACATACTATTTTTGTGAATCGTAAAATCAAATTATTGTATCTGTAAAAAAAAATCTAAATTGCTAGCTTTTCCGTCATTAGCGCCCACTTGAGCTAAATGAAAGAATCTCTGATAGACAGTAAGATATCATAATAACGAGTACGTAGGATTTGACCTGGTTTTGTAATTTGATGTTTGCATACGTATACATAATTCACGTATCTGATGAATATTGATTATCCTTTTATTCATTTCAAGATGTTAATAACACTTTGTGAATAAATCGATTCTATCGAGAAATGACTATAATCATTGGTTAATCCATATTAACCAAGTTTCCGATAATGATAAAAGTAATGTCTGCTTTATTTTTCAAGTATATATGTATTTTTCATTAAACACGTTTATGACTGTAGAAATTAAATTTTTGTTCTATAATGAGCACGTGGTCTTTAAGTTCTGTGACTTTTATAGTTTTTTTTTTTTGTGGGAAGATTTACTTTAGTAGTTCAGCGGTAGCAAAGCGTCACATACTTACGCCAACGTTGCAAACCATCATTGTGTCTCCTTAGATACATAAACACTAACGGTAAAAAAGTGAAATCATCAACAATAATTCTGTAGTCGTTACGTTTCTACGTACGAGCATTTTATAAAATTTTTATCATACACACAGTACTATAATTAAAAATACAAAAGTTCCTTCCCATCCCCGCGAACGTAAATGTTGCGTGTATTTAATAATAATAAAATAATTATAACAGCTGCTTACTAAAAATAATATTCAAAATCTTATGCTCCATTGTAGCTTGATTGATAATTGTATCTGATCCTATTTTTATGGTACAAGATCAATCCGATTTTTTTTTGACACATAACACAAATGTATACTTGTTATCTGCCGCCGCTTATTCTTCCAATCATCAAATTTTGCTTAAAATTGATAAAATGCTGCGGGTGTGTTATTTACACCGCTGCAGAAGTTATATTATTTACGTTGCACGTTTAGATACGAAATATGATTAAGATCGCTCTAGATTTGTTCGTACTAAAAATAACGAAAGCACAGCAATTGTATTGAAAAGAAAAAGAATCATACAAATGATCGTAATCTTTTATTATTATTCTTTTATTCACATCAAAAATAAAAATCTTTCAAATTAGGTAGCGATTTGTTCGTAGGCGTAAAATTAGCTCTGAATACTGTGAAACAGACCTAGGGTTGAGTGGATGTCTGAATAAGATCTGATTGTGTTAAAAATAAACCTGAGCGGGCATTTTAAGTTCACAAATACTGGATTTTTCATGTCTAAGGAGTCTGCGAATTACGAAGTTCCTTATTAATTTTGCAATCGAACTTGAAAACTTTACGTAAAATTGGTTTTCTGTTAATGACAATATTGTCAACACGTACTGTTACTCCATAATATGCAGATGTGCTACTGCCATCATGTGTAGCTAATTGTAATTATACCAACATACAGACGCTGCATTTGTGCGATACGTGTTTGTTTTAAAGTAGCAGCAGATAATTGTAACTTGAAATAATAGTTCCTAAATCTGACAAAAATTTTGACAGTACTGTTTGCTATTCAATGATTTAGTTTTTTTTTAATTTTACACTGCACTGTACAGCTATTATCTTGATTCTTTATTCACTAGACCGTGTTCTTTGATCTTCATGATAAACCCCTTTTTCCCACAACAGAAATTGTGACTATGGCTATTTTTTTCACTTGATACGTTTTGGTCGTTGCTATAATACGTATCAGTATATGACAGACACGTAGTCAGAAATTTATAATAGTTACTTACAAGTGGGATAAAACATCATATCCTACGAGTATGAAGGGTACTTAGAATGAGGCGTTAGTCGAGTTGTGTCATGTCGTGAGTATGATAATAGCGCCCTGGCCCACGTGTAATATGCAAAATTCTATCTACAGTCTCAGAACTTGATTAAAACCAATTTAAATAAAAGAAGAAGTGTTTTATTTGTATTAAAACATGCGTGCTTTAATCGAATAATAGAAAAGTGTGTAAGGACCTAACGAGGGCAGACTATATTATCATGAAATGAAGTAATTCCGTGATAATTAAGTCTGTGGAGTTTTGGGCAGCATGAAACGAGTTACTGGTTTTTTAAAATGTTAGCTTTATGTTCATTTCAAAACAAGGTTTATGTTAATAAGGCCGATACAATGTTCATGACTTGTAAATCACGATGTTTTTAATAATAGTTGCATTGCTGACTTGCTGAAGTTGTTGTAGTTTTGCCACATAAGAGTTTTCAGTCGTTTAATAAAATTAATCATTGTTAAATTCAAGACGCCATAAAACTCTTCGTCATAAAATTGACTATTTGAAAATTAATTACGTTTCCATAAAAACTAATATACTGCTTTAACACCAATTGAAAGTTGTTTTTAATGGGATGAAGAACGGAGCGCTCTTGAGTATTTTATATCGAGTGCCGTAAGCACGGTCGTTATCGTGTCATCCGGCATTAAAAGTGATTGCAGCAGGCAAATGGCCACACCAATGTTCTTTTTTCAATTTAGTTGCTGATGAACTTATCAATACATATTTAACCGATAAGGAATTCAAATAAGTAAAGCATAATGTGGAAAATAAAAATTTTTGATAACTAATCTAAAATTGTCGCCTGTAGTTGTACAATAATTATTACTGTGTTTAAATTTAGTAAATTTTCTGGTGTATTTTTTTCCAATAGTTTTATTTATTTATTTATTATTAGAAACTATTGGAGCGATTGTTATTAAATTTTACGTATGCTAGGAATATCGTGCAAATGGTAAAACACTGAGCAAAATTTGTCTTCATCCCCACCAACAATAGGATGACATCATCTCCAAAATTTACAGTAGTAAATGGTATTGAAATTTTATAAAATAAGATACTCCCACATTTATTACATTTATGAATCCGTGTTCAGTTTTTATCCTAGGCATCGAGATTTTAGGCAAAAAAAAAAAAATTGTATAAAAACATTTTATGATTTAATTTTGAAATTGCAAAACTAAAAATTCTCGTAACAACTGCCCATCTAAAGTAAAGTTTTGCTCCTTTGTAGCATAATTAATTAATTAGTCCTCTCCTCTGTTTTGAGACGACAAAATAAAAAAAATCATTTTCTTTTAACACAAATGCATATTTGCCGCCTCTAATACTTGTTATCGGAACTGCTAATAGATCGTCAAAGTTTTTCGAAGTATAAACATAAACAGTCGAAGTTAAGCATGTACTGAGAATATAGTTATCTGCTTTAAATATTGTCCGCATCACAAAACAAAAATCGCAAAATCAAATTTTATCATTTTTCGACCAATTTCTTTTTGCATTGCATCCATGTAAGGGAGTGGTTTTCATTAAATAAGTATTTAATTATAAATTTTGGTGGGGTTAAGTATATTCATTTTGGTACTTACAATATAACATTAATCATTACTGCGCTTCGGATATACCAGTCTCTGGAATAGAAATTAATAAAAGTAAGTAAAGGCCATGTAGTAGATAGAGGAGTGTGTCGTACTCATCATTTAAGGCGATTTTGTTTAACGGTACTTCAAAGTGGTGGCAAGTTTTTGGTGGGAGTTTAAGATTTTACCCGCTTCGTGTTCTACGAACTGTGAAACGCCAAGAAAATTTGAAATTAGATAATCGCCAAAATTACTCCATTAAAATACTCAGGAAGTAAGAATTGTGTCATTTTATTACTCATTAGATTCAGACCTGACCTTTAATTGAACTCAAAATTGCACGTTATACAACAAAAAATCCCTGTGTTGTAAAACGCAGCTTAGGATCTTTGGATCAGACAATTTATCCAAATATTCTCGAGTATATTACGTATCAGTTTGATGGAAGTTGTGTGTCGTCAGTGTTACGCTGTCATGGGCACGTTTGCTAGCGTCACTTTCTAATGACGAATCTGTTCTAAGTAAAGAGACGAATTTTAACTTAAAAAAAGTTTACTACCATCCTTCTGGTTCCTGAGCGTAAGCTAAGGAAATTAGTACTCGAGTCTATCGGACGAATGGCTACTTTTTTTTAATTTGGTGAAATTTTTACATTACGTATTTTTAAAAATCAAAATTTCAATTATTAATGAAAAATTTGAAATGCGGTTTGCATCAGTTTTCAGCTTACAAAACAATAAATTTTATGACAAATATTGTCGACTTTTTTGTCGGGAGTGAGAGATGAGGGAGAATCAAATTTATGGATGGGCTTTTATAATGTAAAAATTTCACCAAATTAAAAAAAGGTGATAGAAAAAAGTAAATGACGTCATTTAAGTGAGTTATTATTATGAGTAAATATTGTTTATTAAAACATTGATGCTGCAACGGCGAGGAAAGTTGTGGTACAAGTTTTGAAAGAATCTATAATTATTATTTAAATGATTTTCATATATCGCTCAGTATCCTGGGTTAGAATTTTTGGATATTTGGATTGCTGTCACGTGTTTGTGATCTAAATGGTGTCATTAACAAAAAAAACTATTTTTTCAGGGCGAATGGGAGACCAGGGTCAAAAAGAAAAAGAACCGACAGGCATCGGCCAGCAAACAGGATAAAACAGAAGAAATCGCAGCCGGGGACGAGTGGAACGACTCTCAGCCGAGTGGCGGCACCGGCGGCGGCCCAGGCAACGCCAACGACAAGGATAAGCCGCGTAACAAAGGCGGCCCGCCACGTCTGCACGGCCGCCACAACGACAGTCGGGGCTGGCGAGGCCGAGAGAAACAGGAGAACGAACGCAACCTCGAAGAAGGCGGCGGTCGTTCGGACTTCCATCGAGACCGACGGGGGCGACCGGGAGGGTCGACCCGCGGTCCCGGCGGGGGCCGCGGAAGGGGCGGCGGACGAGCCGGAGGGAGGTATCCGCCTAGGGGAAGTCGGAACAACACGTACAATAAGCCGATCGACACCTGGGACAACTCCAACACGTGGGACAACAACACGGTTGCTGCGACGACGAACCACACAGGTAATTTCTGATCTGGTGTCTGCTTGCTTAAATGACCCGTAATTTGTGTAATGATGGTTATTACCGGAGCTCGCAAAAAGTATAATGTTACAAATTAAATTGAGCCAGAAATGGGAAAAAAGTCGATTGTTATGTCACGAGGTGTTTTGCGTGTGTCTTTGTTAGAGGAAGTGGTGGAGGGACGAGTGTTTTAACGAGATTTGAGCAACACGAGATATAAGTTTTTGGTTGTTAGTTTTGACGTGAAAAGTTTTTTCCCACCTCGGATTTACTGCGAAAAGCTTAAATAATTTTACATGGTTTTACAAAAGCCTTTGCACAGACAATTTGTGACTAGTTTTAAATGTCTTAAATGCAGTAACTTGACTAGTCTCTAAATAAGTAGATGTGTATGCAGAAAGTATCAAAGTTCAAGTCTCCGTTGGTTACATAAAAATGTGTCCTTGTGATTATTGCCATCAAAAAGCTGGTGACTCCATTCTAAAAGATTTTTAAATGATATTGTTGAAAAATACGCTACGAAAAGCCTGTTACACTGGTTGTTCAGAATCGAGGAAAGTTGGGCGAAAATAACTACATATTTTTGAAAGTGCTTACAGATAATGGAAAAAAAATATCAGCTAACAATAAAAACAAAACAATTACTTATCAAACAATATGTTATATTGTACTTTAAAATCACACGGGAAACAGTCAAACACAAATATCTTATCTGTTTATATTTATGTAAGGTTTTTAAAATTTTTTTTTCTTAGTTTTAAATTTCACTCTTTTGCAATCAGATATTCAGAATATAAAATTTTCAAGGTACTTTCCAGGGATTTAATATTAAAGTAGTTCATCATTTAAACATTGATCATCACCCTTTGCTGCAAAGTAGATATTTCATTTTTTTTTCAACATATTTATCTGAATTCCACTTTTTTATGAAAGATATCTCATTATTTCATTAAACAATATTCAATGTGAGATTGTAGGACAGATATAACATAGGGTATGTCAGCTGAGGCATGAAACCCTTTTTCTTTTAATTTTATGATAAAGATTCACTTGTGAAATTTGTTTATTTAGTTGTCTTCAGAATTCCATTCAATTTTTTTTTAATTTTTAAAACATTAACATTTGTTGTAAATGGTGTACAAAACGATGATGTGGTTAAATTAATTGTGTATGTATGATTTATTTCAATTTTTATGAACGAATAATTTTATTACTAAAAAAAAAGTTAACAGGTGGGATAAATCTTTGTTAAACACTGTTTATAAAATGTTAGGAATCACAGTCGATAAATTTCGACAGTTTATCCAATGCAGCCCAAACATACCAACATCTATTTAAAATAAAAATGTGAAATCTTCAGAATTTAGTTACAATTCAGGGTAAAAATTCGTAACAAAATCAAAAATCGATACTATTCACAAAAAACACTGTTCCAAAATAAATTAAAATGGTGCTTTGTACTTTTTCGAGCGTTCGCTAAGGCTTGTAATAGGGTCATTTTGATGAATGTTTAATGTCTTATTTTCTTGGCGTTTCACAGCTCGTAGAATCCGAAAATGTAAGTTTACCGTTTACGTTTGTCTATCTTCAGGAAATTTATCTGAGAAACCGTTTACTTTAAAATTGTTAGTGCATTTTAAGAATATCGAATAGAAGGTGAAGCGTTAACCAAAGTTTGCCCGTTCTTGTCTCCAAAAGATTCATTGTACGTCAAAATATTCAAAGTAAGTTTTACGTGAAATATGTAGCCGGACTTGGCTTTTTCTTATGGGTGAATCAATCTATACACACTTTTAATTTTGCGTATACGGTTTAATAAAAAAGAATAAGTGTCGATAGCCTTCTAAAAATTACACATAACCACCTACTGGATAAAAAAAGACCACTTAAAACTACTTGTTACATGCTTAATTTGTGCAGGTCAGTTTATATCATTGACCTAGACAATGTCAGGATCAAGGTTATAATAAATGACTTGCTTCCAAGAAGAGAGAACTTCAAAGAAACGACACAGAACGTAATATAGAAACTCCACTGACTAATATTTTGCCACAAGCGAAGGAAGTATTGTAATCGAGTCATCGAGTGACTGGCATATTTTCTCGATTGGTCATGACCCCTATAGTACGACAAAATGGGTCTTCCGTTTCGGTCGGCAAATTTTATATGTATATAATGAATATCTTGTAGATGGTAAAACGCTAACCAAATTTTGTCTAATCATCCCCACCAACAATATGATGACGTCACCTCAAAATTGTACATAGTAAGTGGGTTTTAAATTGTGTAAATTAACAATAATATACATGTAATTGATGAATCCGTGTTGAGTTTTTAGCCGTGATATGTAGATTTAAAAAAACAAAACTATATAGCAATTTAATTTTGAATTTGTAAAACCGAATGGTTTGAAATCTTGCAGACGTTTTGCAGTTATGGTAAACGGATAAATCCTATTTAAAATGTGCAAAATACGACGAGTTATAAAAAATTAATGAATGAGTCAATTTATTTTATTGATTGAATGAGGAACATCTACTGTTATTATTAGTATTACCCTGCACCCATCCAAATTGATATACGTGTTTTTGCAGAAGTGGTGATGACGTCATCACAAAATTTTGTAAAAAAAAATCATTTGAAGTCGATGCGTAGCATGCTTCTTTGCATTTGCTTTCATATTACACACATATCTTTTTTACTTACGGGCTTCTCTTACAAAGATAAAATTCGCAAAATCAAATTTTATAATTTTTCGAAAAAACATTTTCGTGCTTTTACTTAAGTCAAGTGTATGATGGATTAAGACGTGATTTTTCGAACAAAAATTCAAGTTCTAGCGTGCATCACACCAAAAGCGAAAAAGAAAGAACTAGAATAAATTTCTGTTTTTTCACTTTTTTCCTAGAAATCACAGCAAACAGGATTAAGGAATTCATCGCTAGATGACTAATGTACAGTTGGTAACAATAAAGTAAAATAACTGTTAGAAGATTTTGGTTTTCTTAGAAATTGTTGTTTCATTTTTTTATAAATTAAAGGAAATAAAAAGTGTATGATCAGGGGTGTAAAAAAGCGAAATTGAAGTGCTTTCTGTGGGTGTCCAGTAGCTTTGGAAACAATCTGTAACCTTTTTACATTAAATATTCCTCACCTCTGTAACACAAGCAGTCCCGCATGCATATAGGAGCGTATTTTTTCAAAGGAAGATTTAATCATTTTTTTATTGTCGCCAACTTTTTAGCAAAGATAAAAATATTAGCTGATAACTAATGTAAAATTAAATCGTTGCGTTGTTGTGTGACCAGAATTTGGGGACTGAGTTTTAAAAGTAATATGTTTAAAAAAATCTATTATCAAAGCACAAGCAATATTGCATCTCAGGACGAATTTTTTTATCAAGATTCATATAATTTTTTCGACTTTCTGGTGTGAATGAGTAAATTTTGTTTAATGTTCTTAATCTTTAAATTAATATAAGTTTCAAATTTCAAAGGAGTCTTGTATAGTTTCTCATTTAAATATATTTCTTAAGATAACCTGTATGCGTAAAATTAAAAGTAAGGGTAAATTTTTATTTCCCGAACGTGTATAAAACAATGTGTTTCTGTACCTGTGATTTATGTACACCCCTATTCTTAACCTTACGCATGTAGATTTATTGAAAAAATCAAAATTGTACAACAAAATTTTATAATTTAACGTTTTAAGGTTATGACGAATATAGTAAAACTAATTAATTTGTTTTTCTCCTCCAAAAACTTGATGACGTCCTCTCAAAATTTTGGTAAGTAAATCCTATTTAAAATATTTATAACGTTATGCGTCTAGGTTTTTGGAACAATAAAGAAAAAATTGTACAACCACAAATTTACAATTTAACTTAGAATTTACAAAGCCTTTTCAAAAACTTGATCTCAAAATTTTGTTAAATAAATTTTATTTGAAATTTATAGTGAGACGTGCATCTTTATCGCAAAAGAAAATAATTTGGACTAAGTAGTGGTTACAGAATAACGATTAAGATTTATTTATTTTAATCCTTTCTAGAAAATTAATGACGTCACCGTAAAAATTTAGTGCATAAAAGTTTGTTAAAAATTTGTTTTTCGAGATGCAACGTTGTTTAGCTTTAATAATATGTTTGTTTGTTTGTTTGTTTTTTAATTATTTATGTGAGTTATTAATGAATCAGTTAAGTTTGCTGATTATATCAAAAATACTTTATATAATTTTCTCAAAATTCTGGGAACACAGTACTATTTTTTTAGTACATGTATGTTATAAAATATAAAATCTGCAAAATCAACTTTTATAATAACTGGATTTGTTGATTGTGCTTTAAGGGCTAGGTAAATTCTAGCTAAATAATTTTATGACGAATTTTTACACAATAGGTAAAGGAACACGTTACGCTGTATTTTCCAAATGAAATTTATTTTGTTATACTTCTAGACGAATTTAATTCAGTTGTATCATCGTAACGTTACTCACTCTGTATGTATAATTTGAACCCTTTAATGCCATTTGATCCGGCATAAAAAAATAGTTACAATTTGATGGGTTCTTAATGGTAATCTAGAAAAACTTCCTTGTGGACTGAATCTGTTTTTTCTAGAAAATTGGGATGATTTCCCCGGCACTGACGAATGGACGACAGAAGAATACACGGGCAGTTTGGCGGATACCAAGGTGTTCACGCCTAGTGTGGCACCAGCGATGGACGTAATTAACGAACCTTCGGTGGTCGGGTTATCGATGGACAACGCCGTGATAAACACTGGCCAACAACTTGGACAAACTCTACAGATGTCCTCTCAGGCCACTCAGTTGCCTTCACCGAGTCCCGTCCAAATAGGAGGAACTCTAAACGCCGCACAGACTCAGTACCTTAACCAACTTACCCAACAAAACAGTGATAACATTAAACAGTACGGAACAGCTCAGACTTACCACGCTCAAAATTCAAATCAAGTTTATAATTCTGGAAATACGCCCGGTTCGCAGTCTTACACAAACAACCAACAGTATGGAACGTCTCCCAACGCCTATGTCAATAGTTCTTATCCGGCAGCGAACAACAACTATCAGAGTACGAGCGAACAGCAACCTGCTCAGCAGCCAGTACGGACTAAAACGCAACGAGCGAGGGTGCCGCCGCCGTCCAAGGTAAGTGTTTAATTTTGTTGTAACGTGTGTGAGAACTGTCAATAACTTTTGTATGGTCACCTTTAATACGAATCAAATGTAAGCATTTGCATCATTGAGGAGCAGCGGATTTTTTCTTGGAAAGTAGCTGTTAAATTTATATTAGTGTTAGTGAATTTTTTGGCTGCCTGTTGGTGATGTCTGGTGAAATTACGAGTCTTCTTTACTATTGTGTAAATGGTTAAATATGGTCGCTCTAGCCAATAATTACATTAACATTATTGAATTATGTATATTAAGAAAAAATAAAGCCAAAGACTAGGCTCCACCCATACCCGCCTCGATCTCAATTCTCGATTGTGATGAATTTTTCATTCGTTGTCAGATCAAGGGGCGGGGCTTAATTGTAAGATCCATATTTACTATTTCAAACATGTCTTAAGTTTTTTGTTCTGAAAAGACGACTACGTATAGTAAGAAAAAAGGCAAAGTATGTGGCCCGCCCACCCGCCCTATCTCAATTGTGACGATTTTTTTTTATCGTCAGGAGCCAAAGGAGCGGAATTTAATTGCAAAATCCTTATTATTTCTATACAAGAAATTACCATCTAAGACATGTTTTTGAGTATCGTGTTATTCAAAGAATACTACGTATATTAAGAAAAAATTAAACCCAAAGATTAAGCCCCACCCATACCTGCCCTGATCTAAACAGTAATGAAGTTTTCATTCGTAGACAGACCTGGGGGCGGAGCTTAATTGCAAAATCCATATTTGTTTATAAAAATTTATCACTTTAAATGTGTTTTAACTTTATAAGAATTAAAAAAATATATCACAATTGAGATGGGGTGGGTGGGCGGGGTTTATATTTTGGCTTTTTTCTTAACATACCTATTCTTTGAAAAACACGATACTCAAAAGCATGTTTTTAATTTCTTGTAAGGAAATAAGTATTTTGCAGTTAAGATCTACCCCTTTGGTTCACGGCGAATAAAAAAAATCATCACAATTGAAGTAGGGCGGGCGGGCGGGCTTACATTTTGCCATTTTGTTTTAGGATGTGTAGACTTCTTTTCACAACATGAAACTTAAAACATGTTTAAAATGGAAAATTTGTATAAGGATATATCGATTTTGCAATTAGGCTCCGCCCCATGATTGCAAAATCCATATTTCCTTGCAAAAATGTACTATTTTAACTATATTCTAAGTTTCTGTGAAAAGATGGCTATGCATATTACGAAAAAAAGGCAAACTATAAGCCCCGCCCACGCGCCCTATCTTAAATTCGTCGTCAAAATATATCTGTTTATACCCAAAATTTTTTGACGTTAGGGGCAATTCTGAATCAAAGTTGTTAAATTTAAAGGGTGTTACATTGCAAATTTCCATAGTAACGAGTTAAATTCGTAAATCTGATTGGTTGTTTATTTTTTAACAACCTTTAAATTTTAACAGGTTTGATTCAGAATTGGGCCTGTTATCTCAAAATTTTCCGAATAAATCGCATCGAAAATGTGCAAGATATGATGAGTCTGTACTTGTAATGTATCATTCTATTCATATCCTCAGCGTTAAGCTAAGGAAGTATAGTAATAGTGTCCATCGGGCGACTTGCCAGTTTCATGTTTTCTCAACGTTTCATAACCCGAGTGTACCAAAAAAGTTATTTCCCGTTTCCGCGTGTCTGTCTATCAGTGGCGTAACAATCAAAGTGCGGGCCTGTGTTCTACAACACTGTGGGGCCCCTAATGAACAGCGAAATAAAAATATTTAAAAATACGAGTATAATGAGTAAAGTATGAGTAGACTGCAATTAGGGCTTACGTTTTATTAAAATTATTCTACCTGAAACATTGAATTAAAAAAACAAAATACAATAATTACCTGAATACATATAATTAAAATATATACAATTATACATATTAGAAACTAGCCAACCCGGCAAACGTTGTTTTGGCATTTCTAGTGAACATTTTGGTAGTTAAATAAAAAATTAAATTAAAATAAATACAAATATAATATAATTAAATTAAATTATAAATTATACATAAAAATTTATCGTACGACAATGATTATATTCAATAGCCATCTTGCAACCCTATTGTGCATCTGTGGATGAAAGCAAAGATACTCATATCGTTATTAAAAAATGGGGGTTGGAGGTAGAAGGGTGAAAAATTAGGGTTATATGTATTTTTTGATACCAAATCTTAAAAAAAAAAATAAAAAATGTTGTCTAAAAAATTAAAAAAAAAATTGGTGGGCCAGCCTTATCACTTAGGGGTATAAAAAATATTTTACTAGACCTACCGAATAAACACAAAAAATTTCATAAAAATCGGTCAAGCCGTTTCGGAGGAGTTTGGTTACAAACACTGTGACACAAGAATTTTATATTAGATTATTTTGGAACAAATTTCATTACCATAAAAATGGTTATACTGAGTCGACCTTAAAAGATAGACACATGCTGTCGGAGACTTTTCTTTAGAACTTTTAGAAGGGAACAATTCCATCATACATGATTTTTATGTAATTTTAATCGTTTAAGCAGCGTAAGCAACAGAAGCTGTCAAAAGAGGAATAATTTTCCCGTTTTTCCGATATTTTTCATTGCTGCTCCACTCCTATTGATCGTAGCGTGATGTTATGTAATCTATAATCTTCCTCGATAAATGGACTATCCAACACAACAAGATTTTTTTAATTCGAACCAGTAGTTTCTGAGATTAGCGCGTTCAACCAAACAAACTCTTCAGCTTTATAATATAAGTAAGTATAGAAATGTAGATAAAAATGCCCTTTTTTTTTTAATCTCAAAATTGTTTTCTTCTTATTTTCCAATGGACACAAGTTAATACAAAATTTGACACATCTAAGCTTCTGGCAATTTGATTTCCAATTGAGAGATGCAGTGAAGATAATCTGCATTGAGCCATTGTGTTTCTTAAAAAATTTTTAGTCATTTTTAATTTCGAAAAAGATCTTTCCGCTGAAGCCACCGAAAGAGGTATGGTAAGAAAAATGAAACTGCTGTGATAATTTCAGTGAAACTAGTGCAGGTAGATCATTCTGTAATAATTTCCCAGTCCAGTTTTTTTTTACTTACATTTTTTTTTTCACGTCTTATTACAGCATGAAGTTTCACTGTAGATCTGAGGACAAAATTTAAGTATTTTGTTGTCTTGCATCATAAATTAGTCATATTTTTGTCGGATAAAGATTGGTAATTTACTACATAGGGTGTTAGATTTGCCACAATGGGATTGCGACACTGCGACAGGTTTATTAGAAACAGATGCTGCTGCATTTTTGACCGCCGATGCCGGTCGCTAAAACCCGAATTTATTGAGTCTATGATATTGAGATGCCGCCAAAAGTCCAGCCCTTTGCAGCAAAAAATTTGTAAATAGTACTAAATGGCAATGAACGATTGATCCTGGGATTACCGCACATTTTCGATTTTTTTATTTTGGGATGTAATTTGGGCAATAATATAAAAAAATCTAATAAAAAAAAAAGGTTCGTGTGACCGGACCGGGCCCCTTGAAGCAGCGGGCCCGTGTTCCGGCGAACACATGGAACACCGATAGTTACGCCACTGCTGTCTATCTGTCGTCTGCGTCGATTTTTATTAGACACGTAATCGCTGAAACTAAAAGCAAATTTTGTACGTATTTTACTATACGAATATCATGTAGATGTAGGTGGTAAACCGCTAATCAAAATTTGGCTAATTAACCCCACTAACAATTTGATGTCGTAATTTCAAAGAATTAAATTTTAAAATTATTTAGATGTTATACAACAATATAGTCCTATACTTGTGGTGTAGGAATGCGCTTTGAGTTTTTTCCCTAATTGTCTTAATTTTCGCAAAAAATTAACACATTATAATAACGTTTTACCACTAACTAAGGATATAATCATTTGTGGACCGATGGTCGCACGTTCGATACCAAACTTGGTCGTTCCTTTTTTTTTTCCTTTTGTGCTGTCACTAGTTGGTGACGCCATCACAAATCTTTTATTCCTTGAATTAAGAACGAGTCACCCCATTTTCCTGAAAATATGAGAATACGCATGTCACTTTTTGTCTGTTTTGAGCAGACAAACTCATTCAAATCAAACTAATTTCTACGTGACATTCTTTCGATGTATAAACATAAACACTTGAAGTTAAGCTTGTATCTGCTTTAAATATATTTTCCATTATCCGTACTCGGGGGCGCAAATTCTTGGCACAGGAGCTGCGGGGGTGTCATTTACGCCGCTAGTTTTTACTTTATAAAGGTTATCATAAAACGAAAATCCCAAAATCAAATTTTATTTTTTTTTAAAGAAGTGGGTTTTGTTGGATTATAGTTCATTTTCTTAAAATTGCTTTTGGAAAGATTAATTTAAGGAACACAGAACAACGATCAATATTTTTAAAAATTAAAAAAAAAACAATTAATCATTTAATTTTGCTGATTGAATTAAAAGTAGTTTTTTAATTTTATGTAAATGATAATTTTTTATTTTTATGTATAGGCGTTTTTAAAAAATTGCAGAATATCTTTGATAATTTATCTGAACATTTGAATTTGTTTGTACTTCAAGGGCCGAGATGTTCTATTTAACTTTATACCAATTTTACTGTTTTTTGTAAACAGAAAAAAATAATTACCATGTACGGAAATTTTCAGCGGAAAAAATATTTAGTTGCGTAAAGTTGCTAGATAGCCGTTTGTTGTTTTAAAGTACCAAAGTGTTTAAAAAGTCATTTTTACAAAATTAAATAACATATTTTTATTCTTGTTGTTTATTAATTCACTCTTGTGGTAAATTGCCATTAGGCATTCATGTGTTCACTCCTTCCAAAAACACAGTGACTTCACCTCAAAACTTTCCGAACTCATTTAAAATGTTCACAATAGCATGCTTCTCATGTAGGTTCTCATATTTTTTACAGTTGTTTATAGAAAATGTTTTCAAAAAATTAATGAGTGAAGCAATGTTTGTGATTGGTTAAATAAAAAAAGAGGTCCTGGTATTTTCCTAAAATTCTGGGAATGCAATACTGTGTTCCTGGCGTTACACTATGTCTACTCAAATTAATATGTCTGTCCGCATTAAAAAGTTGGCGACATCCAAAATTTTATATACAAAATCACATTCGAAATATACGCATTTCATGCTCTTTTACCAGTAAGTTAATAATCCACCCTTATTTTAATTTTAACTTACAGATAATAGAAAATAAAATTTACAGAATCAAATTTTATAATTTGTCTAAGAAACTGGTTTTGGTTTATTGTGCTTCAAAGGTCTGTCTAAACAACTTTACACCAACTTTTTGGGCAGTGCTTTCGGACCAATGTGAGTTTTGACTACCTTTCGCTTCATTTTGTTTGGTTGTTACCTAAAAAAAGATATTTTCAGAGTTGTCATCAGTCAGTAGCTCTGAAAAAAATCTGTAATGTAAGGTTCGTTGCGGACATTTTATTTATTTTATTATTAAACATTTTTCTTTTATGCTAATTTATTTCAGGATTTGCTTTCTCTGTGAGTCAAAAAAAGTCAGTTTCACAGCAATTTAGCGCTTTAAAAATAAACGTATAAATGTAATTTTTTTCTCATTTGTGTACAGTATTTAAAAATGGGTTGAACAAATAATAATTTTATCGTTAGCACTGATTAGTTAGACAAAATGTAATTATATCCGCATTTGCGTCACTGCTTCTTTGCTATTCACGCAAGACCTTCATTACAATATTTTATACGGTTTTCTGCATTGTCCAATTTGTAATAAATTTTTACGTGGTGACTATACAAAAGATTCACAGTATTTTTATTTTTTTTTTTCAATGATGAAACCAGATGACGAGACTGAGACTTTGACGGCGTTCACTTCTCATTATTTTGACAAGTTTTTTGTTAATTTAAACGAGATGTGTTCACTTGTCATTGTTCGTTGTTGATTTGGCAGCCTGAGTCCTTTTATCTTTAAGTTCATTCATTCTATCTCTTACTAGTGGATTAAAATGCTTATTTACATTTCAGATTCCTGCGAGCGCAGTGGAAATGCCTGGAGATCTAAACAGTACCATCGGCTACTTGGATGTCCAGTTTGGTGCGATGGACTTCATGTCGGACAGCAATTCCTTCGACGCTGTCAACGACAACAAGTATGGTTCCACGAACGCATCAAATTTGGACAGCACGACTGTCACATCGACTGGTAACATGGATCTCAATGCCGCAAATCAAAATTCCACTCTAGATGCGTATTCACCAAAATCTAATACCCAAAGCAGTATTAGCTCGGCGTTAACGCAGAGCGTAAGTGTACTTACTGAGTGTTTGAATCTGTGGCTAATTTGTGTGTTATGCAGCTTACAAATACGGATAGCATTCCACAAACAAGCGAACACTTAACCAACGCTTACAATTCGGCGCCGAGGAGTTCGACCGGCAGTACGGCAACGCCATCTGTGACGCCGTCAGGACTTGATATCGGGAAGCAGGGAGACAACCACTCGTACTCGCAACCATCAACGTATAATTCCTACCAACAGAAGACTAACACATACAACACTACGACGTATAGTGGGACGCAGGTATATTTTATTCGTTCACACTAAATAATTTTAGTTATTTTGTTTTTGAATGTGTCTTCAATTCTCTTCAAAAGCTATGAAATTGTGGATTTTTGTATTTATTTATTTTACAGAGGAATGACAGTTTGTACGTTTGTCAAGTGAGAGATTAGCAGATTTTAGAGACTTTTTGATAAAGTTTAGTTTTTAGTATAAAACATACTTTTTATGGCAAAATTTTCCTAAATAAGATAAGAAATCTATAAATTCACAATTGTTCATAGTTCAAGTTAAGATGCGTTTTATACAGTTGAACATTTATTTATATCACATCTGCCAAACCTTTATATTACCTCATATAATTGTGCGGTAATGAACTCCTTTCAGATATTTTTATGATGAAACGATGACGAGACTGAGGGGCTTTTTATGCAGTTGAATTCTTACAATCGACGAGTTTTTTGTTAATTGTTAAAAGTTCTTCTGTTGAATTGCCCTATAGGATTGATGTTGGCATCCTGAATTGTTTAATTTCTTTTGTTGTGTATATTGCATAAAAAATTTGAGACTAAAATACGAACATTTCAGACTTCCAATTCATACGTTTCCAACCAAGCCAACAGCAATTATGCGAACAGTCAGGCGGCCCCCTACAACACTCCGTATCAGAATGCGTACTCATCGGCGGCGTCATATCAGTCTAATGCAAATGCTGGTGCTTTCCCGTCGATAAGTCAAGCGAACTCATACCCCTCGAATAACCAGTCGTACCAACAAAATTCTGCTCAGTCAGTGTATGGTGCTAACGCAGGTAAGATTCATAATGTAGAATATAGTATAACTCGTTGAAAATCTAAGTGGGAATTCAGAATTAAAAAAAAAAAAACGATTTCAAGTAATAGACTTGATCACTCATATAATCTGTAAAATTATTTTTAAAATGTAGGTTATAAAAGTAATCTGCGGTGTGGAAATATTTTTCCTACGGCACTAACGATATTCATTATTTTATACTCGCGAGTTGAACTCCCTCTTAAATAAAACCAGACTTTTCAAATTAAATGCGATATGTTTGCTTGATAGGTTTGAACAACAGTTCAAATTTGGGCAACACAACGACGAGTCAGTACAACAGTTACAGTTCGGCGAGTAATCACAAACTCGGGAAAGACAGCGGCTATGACAACAGTTCGAACACAGTTAGTAATACGCAAACAACGACGTCGAGTAATGTTACGTCAACGACCGCTCTTTCATTGTCTCAAACGACGGTTTCGGTTACGAAATCGACGACAACGTTAGGTTCGTGTAGTTCTGTCCGTTATTTTAAAGAGGAAACATGTTTTTCTTTTACAGCCGCGAAGAATTCCAGTAGTGTTGTTTCAAATATACCTCCAGGTGTAGCACCCGTGATGAGCACTCCCTACATTATGGGCCAAGTTCCGTATTTCCAACCGCCGCAGGTCTATTCATACGAGGAAATGCAACTACTACAGCAAAGGCTGCCACATATGGTGTGTATTATGGGCTTTATAATAAATCCACCGATAGCATGCGTTTGCACTATGTGTGGGAACATCAGCTTCACTTCAATGTGAATATGAATACACAACAGGGTTGGATTTTGATGAGAGGGTTTATTAGGTTTGGTTTTAATCCTATTAAGGGATGTTACACTAGTACGCTTGGTTTTCGTTTTGAAAACGCGAAAGATTTTTGAGTTGACGTGGTCGTACAGGTGATGAACCAATTAAAGCTGGTTCCTATGAAGACTTAGGAGAATTTCTATAGCTTAAATTTTCTCTGCTTACTCAAAGAAAGTAAGAATTTCTCCGTTAATTTTCTCCTTAATGGTTGAGGAAAAAATCGATTTTTCAGTAATTTGAAAAAAGTCGGTTACAAAATTTTCTCATGAAACGTTTGGGTTTATTAATATTTCCAGTATACATCTAGATTGAGGCTGTTATTTCGTTGCCGTTTGGACGGTGCATCACAGTCATAATGGTGCCCTCCCTAGTTATTTTAATGTGTTTTGTACTTTGATAACAATACATAAATTCAGTAAAAGCTTGCTTTTTAGTAATCATGTTTTGATCATTTCAGTTTAAATATTATTCAAAACAAAAATCGTGAAGATTTTTTTATTGCTTGAAAGCAGTGTAAAAATGCTCAAACCTTATCAGTGGATTTACATTTCGTGTTTTGCGGTGTAATTTTTTAATCTCTTTTGTATTTTATAGAAGCTTTACTGTGCGCTATTTCGTGCAAGTTTGTTATTTGTTTTTTTCATTGACTACATCCGTTAATATTATTAGCACCAATAACGCTAGCGCAATGTGTGTTAACTTATACTTTTTAAATGTGTGTTATTGCATTTTTTATGAGATATTGTTTTCCGTTATAATTTTGTAATGCTTGTGTTGAGATTATGAATTTCTGCTTTTTGACTTTTAGTGAGTTTATTACTTCCTTTTTACCAAGTTTTGACATTATTTTTAATTGTAATAAACTCATTTAAAGCACAGCTTCTCGTTTTATCAAATAAATTTGTTATTTATATTGTCATTCGTGCATGAAACTATTGAAATTTTATGCTTTTTAGATTTCGTTATTAACATAAAATGTAATTTTTTTGTTAAAACTACAAAATACAAAATGCGACACCATAGAGGGGATGACTTTTCTTGTTTTCATGAAAATGCATCTTTTTTTTGTGGGCACCTTTCAGTTTGGGAGATTGATGATGAAAATTAGTGGAGCTCAGTGTGCTAAACGTAGTATCAAATTGTGTAGCTTCAGAAACTACTAGAAGTTAAATACTACCAGGTTCCCGTACTTCGTATTACCTTTTATTTTGTGACCATTGTGCATCCAGTATGTTCAAAAAATTTAACGAAAGATTTATGAATAAAAATAGCTTTAAAACATTCAAACAGATAAACGTTTTTATAAGGAGTGAGCATTTAAAAAAGAAAAAAAAATGAAATTCGGATTGATCGGTGATTATGACGTCATCGATCTGTACGTTTTAATATGAAAACAATGTTTCAATTTCAGTTATGACATATTTGAAATGTGTTCTTAAAATTTTGTTGTATGTTCGATAATACTATCAGTGACGCCATAACTTCAAGTTTGCTTCACATTTTTTCTACATACTGTACATTTTAACCGCCCAGTTTCAGAGATCTTCCTAATGTAAAAAAAAATTTAAATGTTGCTTTATTTCCCAACATGTCATTCTTTCATCTGTTACTCAGGAACTATAATTTGCCTACATGTACTGTAACAATCAGCGCTGTGTGCACTTTCAAACCATTTATCCACCTTCCTAATAAACCCCATGTTTGTTTGTTCTGTTGTGTCTTAGAGTCTGACTGGCTTCAGCTTGCATCGTGCCGCTGTCGCTGCCGCACTTAACTCGCTGGAGTTAAGGTTGTTTGACACAAGCGGTTAGCTACAGCGGCACGTCGATGTGCGTGTGTATAAACTTCTTCTCACTCATTGGCATCAAAATGACTCACCCGTTTTTATGTACATAATTCGCTGAATACTTAACAGTGGTCCAGCTAATTCTGTTGCTTTAGTCTCTGACAATGTGTACAGCAAAGCTTGCTAATAATAATGTTTTTTTTTAACTGGGCAAGTCGTTTTGATAGAGTGACAAGTTCGTTTATTATGTATTCAGACGACTCCCTACTATGACATGAGTTACCAGACTCCGACGACGTTGGCCGCTGTAAGAGATGGCACTTTGGGCAACGTAGGTTATTCGATCTCAGACGGAAGGTTTACGAGGGGTGACAACAACGCTTCGCCTGTACCTTCGACGCTGTCGCAACAGACTAGCACCTTGACGCAAGGACATCAGGCTGGACCTATACTTGCCGGTACTGGTCCGCCGTATTTCTTCACTGCGTTGAATACTTTCCCTAATTATCAGTTTGGCACGATGTATACGGTGAGTTTTTATTAGTTTAAGGTAATATTTGCATTTGTGTTGGGACGATTCTGTAGAGTTTGCATGGTTTTACGGTCGATCCGGCCCAAGGCTGGGATTGGTTTGACCGGTACTGAACATCATTTACTGCGTAAGTATATAATGCAGTTATTACAAATCTGCTTAAAATTTAAACAGTTCATGATAAAATAATGGGTAAAAAAAATTGGATGACGATACTATTAAAAAAAATTTTTTTTAATAGATTTAAAAATTGGAAGGTCAGCACTTCCGAGTGACCAAAATTTATTGTATTGTTTAGTTTCTATGGACGCTACTATCAAAAAACATTCACACATTAATTGTAGATTTTACAGTTTTCGTTGTTGCTGTACATTTTAAACTTGTCGAACTAGATGACACCACGATTGATTTGAATTTTGAAGTATTTATTGATTTAGTTCCATTTTTATCCTTTCAGAAAAACTGCAAGAATTGTATTTTTTAACCGCTCGCTGCAACTTTTATGCTTCATTATATTGAATTAACATCAGATTATGAATTGTAAAAGAAATCTAAAGGATATACTATAAAACAATATCGGGTTTTTCTTAATTGCGATTAATTATTAAAACGATGGCTCTATAAGTAAATAATTTATTGCTTAATTTAAAGGGTACATTCAAATCACATTTCAATTTAACAATGCAAATAAACTTCAAACTACATTTTAACTTATTTTGAGATGGAAAGATCATCGTATTTTCAAAACAAAAAAGTTGTCATTTGGCAAAATCAGTCTTATCTTAGTAAGTACCAGCCCCGTCCATTCGCCCTCCATTTTCTTATAGTTTGCCAATATCAGTCTTATCTCAGCAGGTACTAGCATTCCAAGAAAATAAAGTGCGGGTGGGCGGGGCTAGTGCTTGCCAAAATAAGACTGATTTTGGCAAATCGCATACCCAAGAAGTAAATAACGGGTGGGTGGGCGGGGCCAATACTTGTCAAGATAAGACTGATTTTGGTAAATGATATAGCCTCTGCTCTTCATTTTCTTAGAGAGTAGGTTATTTGCCAATATTAGTCTTATCTTAGCAGGCACTGACCCCACCCACCCACCCTCTCTTTCCTCAGAGGATATGTTATTTGCCAAAATCAGTCTTATCGTGGCAATTACTAGGCCCGCCCACCCACCCTCTCTTTTCCTAGCGGGTATGTGATTTGCCAAAATCAGTTTTATCTTGGCAGGTACTAGTCCCGCCCACCCACCCTCTCTTTTCTTAGAGGGTATGTAATTTGCCAAAATCAGTCTTATCTTAGCAGGTACTATCATTCTAAGAAAATAAAGGGCGGATGGGGGGGCTGGTGCTTACCAAGATCAAGCTGATATTGTCAAATAACATACCTTCTAAGAAAATAACGGGTGGGTGGGTGGGGCTAGTACTTGCCAAAATAAGGCTGATTTTGGCAAATGATACACCCTCTACTCTTCGTTTTCTTAGAGGGTAGGTCATTTGCCAATATCAGTCTTATCTTAGCAGGCACTAGCCCCACCCACCCACCCCAATCTCAATTGTGACATGAATATTTCTCTAAAAAAATTTACCCTTTTAAAAACATTTCATATGTTAATTTCTTGTAGAGTAACGAGGATTTTGCAACTGAACTCCGTCCTTCAGCTCACGATGAATAAAATATTCATCACATTGGAGAAGGGGTGGGTGGGCGGGGCTTATATTTGGCCTATTTTTTCTTAATATACAGAGTCTTCTTTTACCAACAAGAAACTGACAATATATTTAACTATTCTGTTGTTAAAAGAAAAATCTATATATTAAAAAAAAATGCCCCACCCAGCCGCCCCGGTCTCAATTGTGACATCAGTATTTCTCTATAAAATCTACCCTTTTAAAAACATATTTCATCTGGTAATTTCTTACAGAGAAACGAGGATTTTGCAACTCCACCCGTCACTCACCATGAATAGAATATTCATCACAATTGAGAAGGGGTGGGTGGGCGGGGCTTATATTTGGTCCGTTTTTTTGTAGTATACGAAGTCTTTTTTTTTCAACAAGAAACTGACAATATGTTTAACTGTCCTGTTGTTATAAAAATATATATCTTCTTTTTTGTGCATTTTAGAAGTGCAGTTGTAGTAGATAAAATCGATCAAATCTGGTAAGACCATTCGTACATTGCTAACCCTTTTTCACAATACTTAATTGGCCTTTTCAAGAATTAAATTTTACTCATAGAAATGATAAAAACATAGAGATGATTAAATGTAATTTATCAATTTTGAGCCAACCATTTTTTGACATATTTTCGTGTCCAAGGCGATATAAATCTGTAGCAATTAAATAAATATTTTGAATGTCGACGTTTCATGACGCCTAGAGTTCCCCGATTCCTTCTGTCTTTGTCAATTTTTTTTAGACAGATGATCTCCAAAACAATGGGACCGATTGTTGTCAAATTTTATGTGTTTATCGTGTAGATTAGATTGTAAAATGCTAACTAAAATTTGTTCAATTATCCCCCACCCACAATTTGATGATGTCACTTTAAAATTTCGCATGTAAATATTATTGAAATTTTATAAAATAAAAAGAAAACATTCTATGTAACATTTTGCAATTTTTTTAAAGTACAAAACTGAAATAATGTAAGTGAACACTGAAGGGTCATTTTTTTACGTCATGTAAACGTAGTTTTTTTGTTTTTCAAGAATGGCCAGCAGTTTTTTTTTAACTCCCGACTGAAAAAGTGGGCTGTTATAATTTTGACCTCTTCGTCTGTCTCCCTGTGTCTGTGGCACCATAATTCCCAAATGGATGAACTAACTTCAATGTGGCTTTTTTTGTTTGAAAATTTGTTCGATCGGGATGGTTTTTAGCTGTGTTCGATGGCAATAACTTAACCTCACTTTTAACTTTGCAGCCTTTTATTTATTTGTGGATTTGTCTGTGGCACCGTATTTCCCAAACGGATGGACCGATTTCGATGCAGTGTTTTTTAGTTGAAAGCTGGTCTCATCAGGATGGTTGTTATCAATGTATACTTGACGATAATCACTTCAATTATTTCAGAATCAGCTGATGTTTGTGTGTCTTTGTTGCGCCGATAACACCAGTACAGTGATTTAAATATCCAGTAGAGAAAACATTAGAAAAGTGTAATTTTAATTTAAAGAAAGTTTTTACTTGGATTATCTGCGCCGCAGTTTCCATCTTACGATTTTAGCAAATTTTTTTCCGAAAATTTCCCCCCCGCAAATTTTTGTTCCCTCTGTCTCCGAATAATAGTTTTTAAACGATCACTGACCACTCCTTGAACTAATTGAAGAAATTAAAATGATTAAACAAGTTTGGTACAAATTTCGCTAAATCTAAAAGTTTCGCAGATTTATTTTCCTTCCCATTACATGAATCCGCTTCATTCGCATGAAAATAAACTGCTATCACAAATTGATCATGTTCCTTACTAGAAAAAAAAAGTTATACTTTCATAACAATACTCCAAAGATACGTCATTCGGGTGTTTAGTTGTAAAAGTCGTCAAGTTGATGTTGATTTTTTTGTAAGGTTAGGTTTAAAATAGAGGCCACCGTCGGGAACGATGATTATTCAAGCAGTCGTATCCACGAGAGTACAGTCAAGTTGCGCCGGAATTATTTTGTACATAATCGCTGTGTAATAATCAGTCGTGTAATTCGAGTTATTAAGAAATAAATTGTTGAGTTTAACCCACGCCGATTTTATTCACCGATCAACGTAACAATATACTTAACGTTTTTTTATATTTGTTATTTTCTGTTAAATAAAAGGTACGGAAAACTATCATTTATAGTTCAGTAATGTTAGTTTTATTGCATGTCCATTTGATTGTGAATAGCATTTGTTCGTAGAATATGATTTTTGTAGGAATTTATTTAGGTGATCTGTGCCGTACGATTGATAGCAGCTACACAGATCGTAGATGTGTAATATAAAAATTTGTAAATTTTGTTAATTACAGCAACTGCCTGCTGCGACGAATGCTCACGGCTCGAGCAACAGCACTCAGTATCCGAAACCAGCGACGTACGGTTCGGGTTACGGCAGTTACGATACGCTAAGTCAAACGCAAGATTACAACAAAACTGGTTACGTTGGCAACAACCAGGGGCAGAAAGGGGGCGGAGTTAACGCGACGTCGACGGGTTCCAGTGGAAACGACTTATCTGCTATGTATGGCAAATCACATGCAGCTCTAGGAAAAGTTAATGTAAGTACAATACTTAACAGATTCATGAAACTTCTGTGAGCGCTATGATAGTGGTGATCCTTGAGTTATGAATATGATTATACTCGGAACGTTGTTTACGTATTCACTAAAATTTTATGACGGAATTTTGGGAAAATTTGTTTTTCAAATGTTTGATGGCACATTGAAATTTTAAACATACGTGTCTGCTGGTACAGTGTCATTTAAAGTCTCTTGTGCATACAAAAATAACGTTCTGGGAACAACTGTTGTTATTGTTAGGAAACAAAAACTCTCGTTCTGAGTTGGTTCCACTAGAAAAATCCCCTACCTTTCCAAAAATATATAATTTTATAACCCCTGTTTCACTTTCTTCCATTCCGTGCCGTTGATTAGAAGTATTAACAATTTATAAGAACAAATAAAGCTTGTTTTAAATGTTCAACTCCTGAAATGTTGTCGGTTTAAATATAAAACTTTGGCATGTTGTTCCAGTCGTATGACAAACAAGGTTTTCATTCCGGTACGCCACCACCCTTTGCTGGTACATTGCATGCTGGTCAGAACGCAGGGCTGGCCCCTAGCGGAACGGGTTATGGACCACAGGTTTATATTCCAACAATGACGCCACATCAGCAGCAACTTTCAACTCAGTTGATGCATCAGCCGCTTCATCAGGTATTTTTCGAAATATTGTGATTGCTTACATCGAAATTACCGATTTGCGTTCGATTTTTTATTCCAAGGACTCAAAAATAACATTTGCGTGTCACGTTTTTGGTGGAAAGGACGAAGGACGTCACTATTTATTTTCTCTAAATTTGCTGTAATCCACGCCAGCGACGACGAAGTGTCGGTTCAGCAAGATGTGTGACAAAGGTTATGTTAATGGTCGAGACAAGAACGCCATTTTTTATAGCACTACAAATTTGTTTGTGTCATGTAAATATTAGTAATCTTATTATATGAATTTTTCAAATACTCCTTATAGAAAAAATGTCTTTAGAAAAAATTATAGGCAAGTAAAAATGTCGATTTGGTTCCTGCGGTACTAGTATTAGTCGTAAAATTTTATATGTATTAAAAAACTAGATGTGTACTTGTTGGAAGATGTCCAATATATCTTGCTGAACTGAGACGATAGTTGTACAATATTAAAGTCGTCAAATTAAAACAAAAATTTTCGTCAAATAATGCATGTTTTTGGCAATGTTATTTTACATCGCTTCTTATTTGATGCGACTTGGATTCAATCGGTCACAAACAGCATGAATCACAAACTTTTAAGTTACTTAGATTTGTTTTGCTTGTAGATGGATGTCAGGCACCAAGGCCGACGCGTGGTAAGTCATTTCGGGACACACCATGCCTATATTTTGTGTTTGTGCATTGCTGTTTGTTGCAGGCTTTGTTTCTAACCAACAGTAGTGTTTAATTTCTCATTTGGAAAATGTTTTAAGTGCTAATTTCTTTTGAACCAACTTTTGTAAAACTAGCTTGTAATAATCCTGTTTTTTTGTTTTTGAATTTGGTTGCGGGTTTTTGGGGAACGTTTTCTCCGTTCGGTGGAAGGTACTGACGATGTGTTTGTTGTTAGGATTCTGGAAATAACAGTGGAAATCGCTCGCAGACATCCAACCCGGCCAAAGGGGGCACAAAACAGCCATACCCAACCTCATACTGGAACCAAGCCTAAGACGATTCGGATTCGGCCGCTCATTGCTTTGCCCCGCCCGATTGATAACGAAACAAGAGTTTCCAATTGATAGTTATTAATGAATTAGCTTTTAATTGTATTTTATAGAGCGTATCAACGTCATAAATTATTCTCCTTATGTATTTATTTCTGTCTCCAGTTTATTGGGGACGTTTACTTTATGACTTTTTATGTGAAATAAATGACTTGTGCGATATTTTTTTACATTTGTTAATTAGTACACATCCACAGCTTCTTGTTTTTGTTTTCGTGTTAGTGTTTGCATAGGGTGCAATTTACGTGCAATTTTGTAATGGAATCGACTGTGGATGCATTTCAGTTCTTTTCTTGTTCTGGCCAGTGGATGTCGCAAAACGCTTATGTACTTTAAATCTAATGTTTACTATTACCTTAATCTCAAGTGTGTATTATATATGATTTTTTTTTTAAGATGAATTAGTTTTGATTTTTTTTTAATAACTATTATATTTATACTTATTAGTAAGACCTGTTTTTGTTGAGGCGAGTTGGTGAGCAGTGAAGCTGTAAGAATTTTGAAGTCAATTTAAAGTTTCTCGGTTTTTTATAAATGGACAAGGATTTCATACAGTTAAAATGTAAATACAGCTTTAGAGTTACAAAGGAATTTTCGTACTGAATCACATGCTCTGTACCTAGTTCTGCCTGTGCATTGTGCAGTAGATTAGACAATTCTGATAGATTAATTGACGTATGATGCGCAGTCGTTTCGACTGACCGCTTGGGTCTCTCCCATCTTCTGAAAAACTCGTAAGACGGTACGTTAAGGATCGCAGAGTTTACGCAGGGGAATAGTGAGACGCCTAAGTTTTAACCTACAATGTTTAGGTAGATTTATTAACTAAATTATCTTGTGTATCTATATGCTACTTGTATAAAATAATCACTTATAATTATGTAGACACTGTATATGTGTAGTTTTGTTTTTGTATTTGCTAATTAATTACGATATGGAAAATACACATGGATAAACCTTGACACACCTACCGTGTATCGTTTATTATTATATTTTGTATTTACATTTTGTAGATTCATAAAAGAGGTATGAATGTTCGAAAGAATAAACATTAATAAAACCGACACTCACGTTATCTCGTCTTTCACACGCACACTCGCGTCGGGTCCTCTAGTTCAAATTCGGGGGGTAAATCAAAAATCGTATACGGCAACATATAAAAGAGATATTTTATTAACAGTCTTGTAATGAAAAAGTTTACAGTGAAAATTTAAGAAGCATGAAATAATACAATGAAATCTGTTTACAAGCATGTTAACGAGGTTTATAGAGGATACATGCTTAAATTAATAGAATTTAATTATTAAATTAATCTTAAGGCAAAAAACCCTGCTACTCGCAACCACGGCGGGTGGTTGCCATTTAAAGCTCTAAAATTTACAAAAGTATAACCATCCAGTTATTGCAAGTATCTACAATGAAAAATTAAAAACACATCGATATCGAAAAGCGGTTTTGTATCTGTAAAGAACACTTAAAAAGAGTTTGGTCATACAAAATAAAAATTAAGCCTTTTTATCAACAATGGCGAGTAGTTCGTTCAATATCGATTCCAACAACTTGAAGTTCGCCAAAGGACCTTTAACTTTTTCATCGGCACTATCGTCACCACCGGATGTGTTCTGCGTTTCTGAATCACTGCCACTTTTCAGTTTACTCGTTTTATCACTAGTGTCTGTTGAAGTACTCGGTCCATCTTCACTTACGACTTTCGCAGCTTCACCATCTGCTTTTTCTTTATCTGCAAAGCATGATTATTTTCATTACTAAATATGAAAAAAAAAAAATTGTAGAAGAGAGGTCAAACGGCTGCATGACTAGATATTGGCTACATCGAACCCTACATTGCAAAATGCTAGACACAATTGCTTTATTTAATAACAATGAATTTTATTAAGCACCGTGCGAAAATAAAATGAATTGGAGTGGAAGTTGCCTGTCAAGGTTTGGGTGGTACTACTGCTGTTAATTTGGCGTAAATTAGTGTCGATATAACCCTTAACTGACTACAGTCACTAGGAGTCGGTTTACAGCTCAGTTAGATATATGATTACGATTAAATTTTTAATGAGGCGTTAAAGTACCACGTGCTCGACTCTACGCCAATCAGACGTCGTTAAACGCCTTGTTAAATGCGCGATTAACTTAATCTCAGTTAAAGTATTCCATAAACCGGTTGATGTGTTCAGATTTCAGGTCTATCAGTCAACTCTAATTCGTTTTATTTTCGGGATCACGGTAGTTATGAACACGTCATATTTTTCGTGAAAGAGCTAGTTCCTAGTCTAGAATTGCTTTTCTGTAGAACTATGGACTTGTGACTAAACTTGTTTTCCGAGCACCTCTTTATGCTTAGCTATGACGACAATAGAGATGAAATTTTGTACACCCCTGATTTTGATTTGATATTTATTCAAAAATTTTGAATATCGGACCAATTTAAAAATCGATAACTTTTGTATTTTAAGAGCTGTGAAAAGTCAAGAAAACGTGAAATTCTTAAAGTTAAAATTATATTGCTGCGGAAATAATGACTGGAATAGTACGAGAATAATTATTCTTAGGACATCCATTTTTTTAATATTTTATTTGACTCCCACAAATAATAATCTCCATTACAACGCAAACATTTACTTATGTCAAGGGTGTGCAAAATAAGAACTTTGTTTCATTGTTTAGTACTATATATATTTTAAAGCAATTTTTTAGTAAATAAAATTTTGTATTCTATTTATTTTTTATTTTAAAACCCCAAACACTGCATTTCTAACACAATTTAAACATAGTTTAAGTCTTAAACATATTTTTTCTCATAGAAATACCATACGTGATATACTCGTATCTGTAGTAGAAATCTATCTAGGAAGGTATTTACTTTTTAACTTGCAATGAATACGATGACTAAATATGCAAGGTGTACTAACTCCCGTTTCCGTCTGTCTTTCTGTATCCATTTTTATTAGACAAGTAATCTCCAAAACTACTGGACCAATTGTTAGGAACATCATGTAGACGGGTAAACACTAAGTAAAATTTGGATAATCTTCCTCACCAGCAATGGGATGACGTCATGTCCAAAATTTTTTTCAATTTTTAAAAAATAAGATACTTCTTGCGGATACTTGTGGAATGTGAATCCGTGTCGAATTTTCACCCTAGGCATCCCGAATTTTTGTAAAAAATTCAAAACTGAATAACAATATTTTGCAATATACGACCAATTTTTTTAAGATGTACAGTAGTAGAAAAACTTCAAACATAAGAACTCAGTTGTGTTTTTAATATCTCTGAGTTCTACGCAAATGTCACAAGATATTGTTAAAAAGTATTGCGAAATGTCTCATATAATTTGATTTAAATTAAATTAATAAGTCCCACATGAAATACCTGATGTTCGAAAAAAAAACAAACGTCTCGTAAACCATTGAATTTATTTTTAAAATAATGATGTCGGTATTGCAGTTATTTAACATTTTATTTGTCAATTATTTAACCATAAATGTCAAACTGTTTAACACAAACAAGGAATGGGCTAGTGTTGCCAACATAAATTTTTTAACATTAAAAATTCCAAAGGTTGCTAAGACGATTTTTTCTCATTCAAGAAAGGCGTTTTTAAGTCAACTGTGATTATAAAAGAAAAAAGTTGATCGACAGTTGTTTCGACAGAACATCCCTCGCCCCTGAAGTACAATGAAACAAATTCAGTTTCTTTGAAAAATTATAAAAAATTAATTCTGAGAAAATAAATTCTTGTCAACATATCCAGTTTCGAATGGGCGTGAACTTTTCTACCTGAGCCTGTACCTGTTTAGATTAGTGCCTAATAGATTCATTCGCATTTGTGCTAGCGTGTTGACCAGTTCACTGAAGTTTATGTTTCTGTGTTTTATTGTTTGCGATTTAAAAAAATAAATTTAAAAACCACCCCCTTTTGAAGCGTGCATGTTACGCTACTGACTGTCAGATTCTGATGACTCAACATGTTGAACTTAAGATAATCCATCTCTAACAACCCTTGTCCTTCAACACTTGACGCTCAAGTGTTTATTAATGTTAATACATCGAAAGAATGTCACGTAGAAATTAGTTTGATTTTGAATGTGTTCGCCTTCTCAAAACACAGGACTAAAATTATTATTTAAACCACAATGGAACAAAATGTTCTGAATATTTGGGGTAGACTTTATTTGTCAAAATTTTGAGCTGACGGCATCAATTTTTTGGGGGGAATAAATATGGTCACAATAACTTTAAAACGTCTGCAAGATTTCAAAGAATTCAGTTTTGCAATTCTTGATTTAATCAAAAAAATAAATTCACTCAGTGATTAATTTTTTTGAGACACTCTGTATAAGCAAATCTAAAAAATATTAATGCAGTGATAAATCACTAGTATGCAGTCATCACATTTTACACATTTAAGATAGGATTTACTCAGCAATATTTTGAGGCGACGTCATCAGTTTTTTAGGGGGAATGAGCAAATACATTTTGGTCAAAAATTTACCATGTTTATGATAACTTTAAGCTATTTCCAAGATTTCAAAGCATTTGGTTTTGCAGCTCTTGATTAAATCAAAAAAATAAATTCACACATTGATTGATTTTTTTGTGTCACCCTGTATAGGAATCCAAAAAATGTGAATGGAATGATAAATCACTCATCATATTTTGGACATTTTCGATACGATTTATTTGGCAAAATTTTGAGCTGACGTCATCATTTGTTTGGAGAAGATTAGCAAATATTTTTGATTAAAAATTTATCATGCTTATCATAACTTTAAAACATCTGCAGGATTTCAAAGCATTCCGTTTTGCAGATTTAAAATTAAATTGTAAAATGTTGTTTTATAATTATGATTTTTTTTCCAAAAATCTGGACGTTTCGGGTAAAAACTCAACACGGAGTCATAAACAACATGTGTAGGACTATGTTATTTTATACAATTTGAAATCCATTTACTATGTACAATTTTGAAGTGACGTCATCACATTATTGTTTCTCGATTATAATACTACCCGTAAATATCTTACAATCGGTTGCTATGCAGTCTGACCTCCCTGTGAATTATTACGATTTTAGAAATATGAAGTGCCGTCAAGTGATGTTTAAAATCATTGAGGTAAAGTTTGAGTTTCACAAGTGTCATAAAACATGGGTTTATAAAATAAGTACGCACCTTTATAACCTGGATCGACCTTCGCAATCTCCGTGTGCACCTTATTCTGTAACTGTTTCAAAGTGTTTCGTAGAAGTGGCGGCGGAACAGCCTCAGGACTGCTGTATACTAATACTAAAGCTCTCAGATCCCCGGAGAGTCGTTTGGCAACTTTCGTGATTTCCAGTGAACCGACTTGGTCGCTTAGAGCTACTACTGTGTTGTCAATCATCGTTAAAGTTTGCTCGGACAGTACATGAGCTGATACTTTCGGGAAAAATGCAACTAAAAACTCATAAATCACATCTACGGTTAACGCCGATCTTTCATCCAATAACACTGCATCTATATAATCCACGAAATAATTACAGCTAGTCAACATCGATATATACTTCCGGTCTATGTGCTGCAAGTACGTAAAAATTAAAACCGAGTTGTGGGTATCGGCAGTACTCACCTGAGCCTTCAAAATGTCGAGCCACAACTTCGGGAAGTACGTGGAATGTAACGGTACAGCCTCAAAGCCAACTACTGCGCTCAGATTAACTAACACCTCAGTCACTGTGTCATTATTTACAGCAAGCCTAAACAACATGTCGATAAAATCATGGTAAGGGGTGTAAAATTTGTCGAGAGCTTCGTCGTATTCTGGATCGACACCTCGACTGCACTCTAGTTGATTATGCGGCACTGTCATTTGTACCATGGGTCGCAAAGGACGGGCACCGCCTTTGCCAGCAACTACCGGTAGCGAGTGACCTCTTCTGGGAAAATACGGACCGAGAGGCACTGCATCGTGACTATCTTGAAACGCCGAATGACAATGTGACAACAACGGGACTAAAATTTGCATCACTTCAGGCGCCATTATTAGAACAAACTCTTTCAAAACATCTAGAAAATTTAACATTCATATCGACATACACAGTAGTACATAGTACACAGTACCTATACACAACGATCGCATTTCTGGAGGATTATAAGTATTTAACAGTGTTGCCAATTTACGAAGAACTTCCAACCAATCTTTAGTCGCTAATAAAATGCCTCTCGCATCCTTGTTGTCCCTGAAAGACCGCACACACCTGACTAGGTCTTGCATGATGGTCAAGATGTCCATTAAATCACCCGACACGTGACAGGCTGTGGCTTCATGAAGCATGATGTGAAGATTTTGAAAACACTGTAACATGATTAGATTATGTTGTGGTGTAAATCTGAGCGTTGGTTTTAGTCACCTCAAAAACAATCTGTAAACCACCATTATAAGCAACGTAGAGTTTGTCATCGTTCGACTCGAGTAAAATCCGAAACGCCGATATTAAAGTTCCCCAACTAGTTCTGCCGTCTAAACATTGCAGGTACGTCATAAGCGTGGTTCGTCTGAAACTGCAGATCTCTCGTTGTTCGGCTTCGGTCATGTCCGGGTGTTTCATCACCATAAGTTGCATCAATTTGAACAATTCTTCAACCGCCTAGTACAAAACAAAAATTAAAAGAATGAAACTGAAAATACAACAGTTTGTCGAAAATTCGACGACCGCGGCATCACCCGAAGAACGATTTTTTTATTTTTACCTGGGGATATTGTGTAGGATGAGGTGTAATATTTTTAAATGCCCATTGTAAGTTTTGATGTTGCGCTAAATGTCTCGTAAAAATCCGACTTTGTTGACACATCATCCTTAACAACCCGTAATAGGCCGGTAACATGGCACGATTATATATAACAATTTCTTGATCGTCATGATCGGCACTGTAAAAACAAAAATAACGCATTTTTTTTTACAAAAAAAAGCAATACTCACAGAATATAATTAAAGGCAATATTTTTAGTAACATGCGCGTTCTGTAACATCAGTTGAACGTTTTCTGGACAGTCGACACAAACGTGGTTCCAAAATGCTAATAATGCTTGTTTGTTATGATATGCCGGTATGGATGGTTCCGATAATTTTGGATGAAACAAGTGCCACAGTTGAAGGAAATACTGACCAAACTGTAATTAAAAGTTAAAATGACACTTGTAATGGTGCCTAGTGAAGAAAATACCATTAATTTTTCGGTTCTACTAATACAGCAGTACATTAGTAGAGCAAAATACGTTGTTAGTTTCATGGTGCCATGCTGCTGCATGTCCGTGTAGTGCTTCGCAGAAGATAGTAGCCTCAACAAGCCGGTGTATACTTGATGGAGGACAGTTTGAGCTTCGTTTGTCAGTTGAGGTTCTCTCTGCATTCTGTGTGTCGCTCTAAAACCCTGCCTGAATGGGGCGCTGGGGACCAGGGATACCAACAAATAACCGGCCGCTAGAAATATATTTCATCATGTTGTTTTAAAGTTACAAAGGTACGATTTTACAAAAGGTCGATAGCACGAATGCTTATGTCGACTTGGTGGTTTTTATTATGCTTAAAACATTATGTAAACGTACACTTCAAATTTGTAGATGAACAATATCACCTATACAATTTTATTAAAAATATTACGTAAAATATTGTTAAATAGTTGAAATACATTAGCGAAAGTCGCACGTTAAAAATTACATTACCGAGGCATTTCCTCGCAACGCTAAAATTTACATCACCGATACGCTTTTTTCTCGCAACGATGACTGGGTGTTTTTGTATTTATTTATTATGTGTTTTGTTGCAGAAACCAGTTCACGATAAATTCTCAAAGTTAATTATTTTAAGTAACCAATCACTCGGACCATGGCATAATGTATATAACATAATATAAATTCTTTGACTCGTTGATAAAGTGTGGCAAATATTAATCTCATTATTCCTCTGTCTGACAATTTTAACTTCAGTAATTTTCTTTGTTGTATAATTTAAATTGAACGTAAACTTTCATGCTCTACAGTTTTAACTTCACGAATTTAAATATTGTTTATTGCTCTTTTTGAAACTTTAACACTTGTTCAGTTAATATCAGAGTCATAGAAATTGAACATTTAAAATGGAATTGAGGTTAAATAACACCGAAATACGTGGCAGAAGCGGAGTGCACGGTTCCTAATCGAGCTGGCGAGATTTATCGCGCCATCTGTACAAACGATGCAGATTTGAATAGAATTCAGGGGCGGTCGCGATGACGTAACGCTGTCAGCTTCTGTACTTTGCCGGAACCGAACTGCGTACGGCTTGTCCGTAATAGAGAATAGCCCCGACCGGTAGCCTCAAACTCCGCTTGTGTTAGAACTAGCTCTTGTTGACCGCCATAATTTTAAATTTGGCGCCATACGTCTATAATAACTTGTGTATTTGCATCCAGTTACTTTAATTCAGATTTTGCTTTGTTTTTATTAAATTTGAGATATTCAAATATTTGCATTGATTCAGAACGTTTAATTTGATTTCATTTCAAGTCACTCAAAGTTTTTTTTTTTTGGAGCTGAACAGCGATTGCGATTCGGCCCCCTCTGGCCAGCCTGAGCGTAAGTCACGAGTCACCATTGCAAGCAACTTTTTTTTCTTTTTTTTGTCAGTGGAGGAATTTTGAGTCCTCCATAAATGTTGTGTTTTATTTAGCGGTACTTTTCCAACCTTGGGGTCCACCATTTGCATCTGAACGCATCCCGCCATTTTTCAAAAACACAACGTAGGGTTTCATTTTGTTAGACGATCACAGCCGAGGCCAAATTTTGAATTTTTTAATTTTTCGCGGGCTTTCAATTTTTTTTCTCACATGTCAATTTAAGGCGGGATGTTTGGGTTATCACAATATAAACAGTGTTTGGTGCAGAACAAAATAATTCAGTTAACGGACCACTTTGTCGAGAAGTATAATTTACCAAGTGATTTGATTAAGATAGAACTGAACAATATTAAGAGTAGTCACCGGAATGACGAAGGGGTGGGTGGGCGGGGCTACTGTTTGCTCATAAAACTAGAAAAAAATTGGTCTAAAGAGTTTAGACAGTACTTCCCTCGCTGTCGGAAACTTGACGACTGCATGCCTATTATGTTTTTTTTTTCTCATTACATTTTTGTAGTGGGAATTTAAAAAAAAATTGTGATGACGTCATCAACATTTTTGCAAGGACACGTATATCAGTTGGGATAGATGTAGTGTAATACTAAGAATAAAATTATTGTGTTCCCAAATTTTCGGGAAAATGAATTGGGTCGTTTTGAATATTGATTTCTTATAATCAATAAAATAACGAAACAATTTACTCACGTATACGGCTCCGGTGTGTAATATCTATCTAGAGAGCGGATTTCTGTCGGGCTAGGCAAGGCCAAACTCGGTACGGCTCGCACGGGATGCGAATTCATTGCCGTTGCGGACTGCACTTCGTTTATTTGAGATTAGAATAACGTTGTTTCGTTGCACTCTGCTGTTAATTCCCGTTCTCATTTACTTAGCCGTTTGATTAATAAATCGTTAATTATATTTATGGAATCCAGCACGTCCCCCCCTATAATCGTGACGTAGCCCGACAGAAATCCGCTGTCTAGTAATATGAGGGGCAACTGAAAATCGTTTATGTATAAACATTCTTAATTTAAGATGACAAGCGTAACAGCATACGTAAGAGCCAAACAGAGAAACTGTAAACAAAACGACCATCGGTTTTATTGCTTCGACTTCCGCTTATTATATAAAACATTGCGTTTTATTTTAATTCTTGACGGTGAAATTTACAATTGGTTGATTATAAACATGTCTATTTCGCATTCGCGGAACCAAGTGACCGCATAAAACAAATGCAGGTCTGTAATGTTAAAGTCGATGTAAATAAGCGTGCTACTCTTATGTTTCAACCGAGTTTTTCCTTTAACAAATTTTGTGTCTACCAAATTGGGTTGGTTGGGGTGTAATACTAATAACAAGTGTTGCCTTTAATTTAATCAATAAAATAAATTGACTTCATTAATTTTTTTGAACCACCTCTTAAGAAAATCTAAAAAATATGAATGGAATGATAAATCACAAGTACAAACTCATCATATTTTTTGCATTTTAGATAGGATTTATTCAGCAAAATTTAAGGGTGACGTCATCAATTTTTTTAGGAGGGATGAACAAATACATTTTGAACAAAAGTTTACCATGCTTATAATAACTTTAAAATATTCCCAAGATTTCAAAGCATTCGGTTTTGTAATTCCTGATTAAATCGATAAAATAAATTCACGCCTTCATTAATTTTTTTGAGTCACCCTGCATATGCAAATCCAAAAATATGAATGGAATGATAAATCACAAGTACAGACTCATCATATTTTGTACATTTTAGATACGATTTATTCGGCAAACTTTTGAGCTGACGTCATCAGTTTTTTGTAGAAGATAACCAAATATATTTTGACTAAAAATTTATTATGCTCTTTATTATAACCTTACAACATCTGCAAGATTTCAAAGCATTCGGTTTTGTAGTTCCTGATTAAATCAATAAAATAAATTTACGCATTCATTAATTTTTTTGAGTCACCCTGTATATGCAAATCGAAAAAATTTGAATGGAATGATAAATCACAAGAAGAGACTCACCATATTTTGTACATTTTAGATATGATTTATTCGGCAAATTTTCGAGCTGACGTCATCAAGTTTTTGGAGGGGATAAGCAAATATATTTTGACTAAACATTTATTATGCTCTTTATGACCTTAAAACATCTGCAAGATTTCAGAGCATTCGGTTTTGTAGTTCCTGATTAAATCAATAAAATATATTTACGCATTCATTAATTTTTTTGAGTCACCCTGTATATGCAAATCCAAAAAATATGAATGGAGTGATAGATCACAAGTACGGACTCATCATATTTTGTACATTTTAGATATGATTTATTCCACAAACTTTTGAGCTGACGTCATCAAGTTTTTGGAGGGGATAAGCAAATATTTTTTGACTAAAGATTTATGATGCTCTTTATAGCCTTAAAACATCTGCAAGATTTCAGAGCATTCGGTTTTGTAGTTCCTGATTAAATCAATAAAATATATTTACGCATTCATTAATTTTTTTGAGTCACCCTGTATATGCAAATCCAAAAAATATGAATGGAGTGATAGATCACAAGTACAGACTCATCATATTTTGTACATTTTAGATATGATTTATTCCACAAACCTTTGAGCTGACGTCATCAAGTTTTTGGAGGGGATAAGCAAATATTTTTTGACTAAAGATTTATGATGCTCTTTATAGCCTTAAAACATCTGCAACATTTCAAAGCATTCTGGTTAGCAGATTAAAAATTAAATTTCAAAATATTGTTTTGTAATTTTGATTTTTTTTCCAAAAATCTGGACGTTTCGGGTGAAAAGTCGATTCAGAGTTGTAAACTACATGTGTAGGACTATGTTATTTTATACAATTGAAAACCCATTTACTATGTACAATTTTGAAGTGACGTCATCGCATTAGTGGTGGGGATGATTAGACAAATTTTGGTTAGCGTTTTACCATCTACATGATATTCTTAATATAAGTACAAAATTTCACAACAATCGGCCGAGTACTTTCGGAGATTATCTGTCTAATAAAAATCCGGGACAACAGACGGACAGACGGACAGACGGACGGACAGACGGACAGACGGACAGACGGACAGACGGACGGACGGACAGACGGACAGACAGACGGAAATGGGAGACCTATTTCTTCGTCTTCTAGAGGTCATGAAAGATCGAGAAAACGTAAAAGTAGAGAGTCGGCCGACGGACTCGATTACAATACTTCCTTTGCTTACGCTCGGGAAGTAAAAGCAAAACTTAGCTTACTGTTACAAAAAATTATTAAAAAAAATCGTACATGGCGTACTGAAGAGTTAATCCGCCATTTTTCAGACACCCGGTATAAGAGGAACAGAGTTGGATCAATTTTTAAAATTATGATAGAAACAGCCAATAAAATTACCAAAAGGTTTTAATTAAAAAAAATAATTTTAAGGTAAAAAAAATATCTTACTGAACATAAACAATATAAACTTAACAATTTTAGATGAAATTGTTCCATTTTTGGAGAAAAATTTTGTTAATTTTCTCTGATTTTTTCTATTTTTTTTTTTCGTATAGTTAAGTAAATAACACTGGAAATGAAAGAGCACACTATGCTGTACACTTAAAAAGAAATTTTCTCACCAATATTTTAAGGTGACGTCCATATTATTTGCTCAATACAACCTTCAACAGATCGACCACAGACATTCTGACAGACAGACAGGCGGAAACGAAAAAAATGTTTTCCCAAATTTTATGAGCTATGTTAGAATAGTTCTCTGAATTATGGCTTTAGAAGTCCTTATAAAATAAAATTTTCCAAAATAGATTTTACTTAGACATTG